TCATCAAGCTAGGCGACACATTCTGGATGTCATTCAAGATCATAACTGTCAAGGCTTCAAGAAAGATCTTATTTCGTATCTCAATTCACAGCTTTCTGATCCACACTCAAGAGGACGACTACGACACATGGATCTACCTTTTAGCCATATAGACATTTATCATGGGTTCAAGTTTTGTCTTGACTCCTTAGGAAACGACAATGATTTTGATCAGGAGGAGACAGATACAGTCAAAGCCAAACCCTCTTTAGGAGGTAAACCTGCACGCTTTGACACTGTGGTTGTGATGGATACTTCAGATTGTGAAACCACTGGTCTTAAAGGTAAGTTTCAAGTTATTAAATATTCTATGCCAGTGAGTAATTTAACCCTACCTATAGGTACAAGAATTGGTCGCTTGAAGGTCATTTTCAAATTACCTTCACAAGTATATGGCTCCGTTACTCCTGCTTGGACTAAGGATCCACTGGCTTATGTTGAGTGGTATGCACCTTTAAAGCCTGCTGCTGAAGATTATCATGAAATGTATCTTGTCAAAAAATGTCTATCTAACGCAGATGGCTTTACCCCAGGCCAAGTTATATCTCTATCTTCTATTAGACAGACATGCCAACTCATACCAAACTTTGGACGTACAGCTTTACCAATTGAATGGACCTCAGATAGTGTTTTAGATAGATGTGATACCTTTTTTCTTAATTGTTTTACTTCCAAATACGCATATCAAACTTTATGGTAAAATTCTTTTAATTATATCACATGAAGTTTTCTATAGTGCTGTATAGAGCCCCACAGCTGCCTATAGTCTATACAACACTATACTAGCTATCACAGACCGTAGCACCTATATAGAACAACAGTTTTTCCTGATGTTGTTTATCCTTGATCGACAAATCTTGTCTTAACTCAGTACTCAGTTCCCTGTCTTCATTCAAAACGGTATAGGACACAATTTTATATCTATATTGAGTACAAAAATGACCGGCTTAACTACAGGTCCAAATTATCTGGCCGTGTGGACAAGAACAAATAATGGCTGACGAGACTCCAACATTTTTGGCGCGCAAGTACTTCTGTGTTGATGCGAAGGGTCCTACTTGTCGGCGCGGCTTCAAGATGGCAGGAGGCTATCAACAGCATCGCAACTCCATCCATATCGAACCTCCCTGTCCAACTCGCCCTCGTCAGCATCCTTTTGTGCATGACGAGGAGATACCTCAAGGTGCTTACTATACTCAACACCCAGTTCTTGACGGTTCACCATGCGATGCCGAGGGCCACGACCTACTTCCACAGCAGCCTCCTGCTGACGAGCCACGTGATCCAGCAGATGACACCTGGAAGCCTTTCCCATCTCGCGGCCACTTTGAGCTTGCAGATTTTTTATTTTGGCGCAATCAGATGCCTGCAGCACAGGTAGACGACTTGATGCAAGTCCTCACATCTTTCGAGGCAAATCGTGGCTCTCTGCCGTTCAATGGTGATGCACACCTCCATGATAGCATAGATTCAATCCCTCACAATGTACCTTGGCAATCACTTACCCTTCGCCACCCTGACTATGAGATGAACCTTGACAATCTGGACATTCCTCCATGGAAATGTGCCGAGTTTGATGTCTGGCTTCGAGACCCTCGCGAATTAGTAAAAAACCAACTTTCAAACCCGGTGTTTGCAGACAGCATCGATTATGCTCCCCGCCAGGTGTTCAACAAGCACGGCCAGCGCGTGTGGACTGATTTTATGACCGGTAATTGGTCCTGGAATCAATGTGTGAGTGAGATGATCATAGTCACGCACTAATATTGATTGATGTGCCCTAGAATACACTTGCTGATGATGGCAACTGTCATGGAGCCATGTTCATACCGATAATCCTGGGCAGTGACAAGACTACTGTCTCTGTCGCAACGGGTCAAAATGACTATTATCTGCTATACGTATCCGCCAGCAACCTTCACAATAATATTCATTGAGCACATCAAGATTTAATTAACTACGCTGTACTAGCTGAGCAAGGCCACGAAGACAGCAAGGAATATCTTCACTTTCGTCGTCATTTATTCCATGCTTCCTTACGTGCGATTCTCGAATCGTTTCGTCCGGCAATGCAAAAACCCGAGATAGTCAAGTGCGCAGATGGCCATTATCGACATGCCGTCTATGGTCTTGGTCCATACATCGCAGATTATCCTGAACAGTCTCTGTTAGCCTGTACTATTTAAGGATGGTGCCCTCGGTAAATTAGTTTATCATTTGCTCTATTGCTAGTTAGGCTTTGAACTCATTAGTACTGTGCTTGTGGACAGTGGGACTGCTGATCGGAAAAATTTGGATGGGTCACAGTGCAATCGACGATCACATGCCCACACACACACCCTTATGCTTGGCTATTCAACGCAAGAGTTACGGTTTGGCTGGGGCATCATTGATGGAATTTTGGTATGTATTAACTAGCAACCCATTTCTGAGTTCTAATGATGATCATATTAGCCATTCACTGCATACTTTCTACGTGCCGACATTCACGAGCTTCTTGCCCCTGATATTTTGCATCAAATTATCGAGGGCACATTCAAAGATCACCTTGTCCACTGGGTAGATGAGTACCTTGTTCTGACATATGGTGAAGCACATGCAGAGGCAATATGGGCTGATATTGATCGCCGGTAATTAACATATAATCAATTGATCAATCAATACAGTGCTAATGACCTAGTATGCATTGTAGCATTGCTGCTGTACCATCATTCCCAGGTCTGCGCTGATTTCCGCAGGGCCGAAAATTCAAGCAGTGGACAGGGGATGACTCCAAGGCACTCATGAAGGTAAAATAATCATATCTTTGCTTATTATGTATGATTTATTATGAGCTACAGGTCTTCCTGCCAGCTATTGCTGGACATATTCCGGATAAAATGGTCCGAGCCATCAGTGCCTTTTTGGACTTTTGCTATATAGTCCACCATTCCAGTCTTGATGAAGGTGATCTTCTTGCACTAGATGAAGCTCTTTTACGCTTTCATGAGGAGCGAAGCATCTTTGTTGAGACAGGTGTTAAACCTGATGGAATCTCATTGCCTCGTCAACATTCACTTTGCCACTATCGCTACCTGATACAGCAGTTTGGAGCACCAAATGGCTTGTGCTCCTCTCTGACTGAGTCAAAACATCAGAAGGCAGTCAAGGAGCCTTGGAGAAGAAGTAGTGGCAATCTTGCACTAGGTCAGATGCTTGAGATTAATCAGCATCTTGATAAACTTGCTCTCTTTCAAGCAGAGAAGTTTGCCGCAGGTCTCCTTGACACACCATTACTGCCATCTGATACTATTGCTGTTGATCCTGACAATATTGGTGGTGATCCTGATGAGGAAAATTGTCGAGATGATCATGACTTAGAAGATGTGATTGCTGATGATCAGGATGCTGAGATCATTGTCCAGTTGGCCAAAAATCAAGGTTTATATTTCTATCATCTTGAGTATTATGTTTTTTGTTAACTGGCATGTTCTTTAGCTCTTCATTACCCAAGTCGGTTGCAGAGAATTGGTGAACAGATTGGTGTTCCCCATCTCCGTGACCTTGTGCGCCAATTCCTACATGATCAGCGCAATCCTGACCATCCTATTCCTGGGCATGAAATGGATGTGTCTCTTTGTCCAGACTTTAATGGCAAGGTGCATATTTTTCATTCTGCAGTTGCATCATTTTATGCTCCTAGTGATATTTGTGGAGTTAATGGTATGCTACGTCATGTCATCCGCTCAGCACCAACTTGGCATAATGGTCCTGCTTGTCATGACTGTGTTTTTATTGAACATGATTCTACATTACCAGGTTTCCAAGGTCTATATGTTGCTCAAGTGATTCTTTTTTTCTCATTTCACTTTCGTGGTGTTGATTATCCTTGTGCACTTGTTCGTTGGTTTGAAACTATTGGTGACCAGCCATGTCCTAATACAGGTATGTGGATGGTTGAGCCAGAGTTTGATGCCAATGGCCAGCGTCTTACTTCAGTTGTTCACTTGGACACAATTTTGCGTCCAGCACACTTAATTCCTGTTTATGGTAATCATTTCATAGATCATGATATCAAGTGTACCGATTCTTTGATTGCTTTTGCAGCCTTTTATATCAATAAGTTTTCTGATTATCATGCTTTTGAAATTGCCTTTTGATCTGATATTGTACTACTACTACTTTGTATAGTACTAGGGTAGAATTCCCTTTGACTTCTTGACCCTTTGTAAAATAAGACTATGCCATATGATTTTTACTGAAATACTAGTACTTATTTTATGATCTAGCAGTAGACATCTGCACAGGTACAGGTGACCCATGACAGGTCACGGGTAAGGGTACCAGTGGGTAGTATGGGTGTGGGTTGAGATTCTGAGACCCGTGACCCTCTGAATGGCTGGGACCATGAAAGAAGGATAAAGCTGATACACTACATGACCTGATCAGCGGAAGGACTGAACTGCAATACTGCTTTGGCAAAGCTGTATGATCTGACATCATATAGGAGCAGCTATCATGAAAACTCTGACCTACTGCATTACTGTAGCACAAGTTGGACTAGGGCTCTATAGCCACAGATGTGTCTGCATGATCAGATAGGCTGAGTATCTGGGTGTTTGATCTTACTGATGTGTCTGACTGACCAAAGAGGCTGCATATCTGTGTTTATGATTTGTCTGTTACAGTCAAGTACGCCCCTATTCATTTTCTCTTCTTACCTTGTATTACGTCACAATCACTATCTTAAGCCATCGCTAGACTTCTCTTATTACCAGTTGTATTACACCACGATTGCATCATGCCGTCGCTAGGTGATCTATTCTTGTTATCTCTGACTTGTCCTTATCTCTGACTCGTTCTAACTTCATTGTACCGGCCCTAAAGCAAGCCATCTTTTACTATATAAACTCGTTCTGTACTATGTAGTTCTTTACTTTAATCTTACTAGGTTTTACCTGGAACTCTCTTTGCTTAAGACCTCCAATCTTAAGCTGTCTGAAACTCGATTCAAGTCAAGGACACTCTCTTTGACTTGTCTTAGTGAACCACTGAACTTCGGTATACGCCGAAGCCTTGAACTGACCTTGGCTGATTACTCTTATTGAGTAGCCATACATCTGAACTATCCTAGTTCGTAACATTGTCTGATGAAGCTGATGATTATGAAGTCCTGGCAGAACTGTAGTGCTGTATGTGTAGATATGCTTGAGGGCCATGTGGTCCTGAAAGACTAATGTACTATATAGCCTGCTATGTTTGAAAAGCAAGACATCCTGCAACAATGATATCCTGCTGTGTCTCAAATGGTTGAGCATCATGATGTCCTGATGAACTGAGAGTATGTTGTGTCTGATATCACTGACTGACTGTGAGTTTGACAACCTGGGATTATGATAGGTCTGAAATCAGACCAGTCAGGTCATACAGTCATATCAGCTAAATCAGGGAAAATCTAGATTTCCTGATGAGGGCAGGACGGACTTTGAAAAGTATGCCATGCTGCCGGCGTTTGCCTCTCATTTTCTCAGCACAGGTGCAAACTTTGAATACCACTATTATGTCCCATTTCCAGTGCTTTGCAATGCCAAGTGCGACCTTCACCATGAGATCGAATGACCTGTCATTGGTTATCTGCATAACTGTAACATCAAGTTTCTGACACAGGGGCAGTTGTATTTTTACAGCACTTGATGAGATGGTTCGGTAGGTTGTTGTCACGATTCTGGATTCGAGCACCTGATGAGTTATCAGTGTTGCCGCGATGTTTACATTTCCAGTAGTAGCGATTTGAGCTGTTGTCAACTCGTTCCAGGCGCTCGAAATTATCGTTGATCAGTTATGCGATGGGGCGCCCTCTTCCATCTCTGCGAGTCTCGGATACCCTAGAGTTCTGCCAGGTTCTGCCACTCCTTTCGCGTGAGTTCTGCCGTGGGCCAGGCACAACCAGTTTTGCCGCACCGGTTGGCAAAACTCCCGAGTTCTGTAAAACACTATCAGAATCCCACGACCCTCGAGACAAGACAAAGTTCACTCCGTATTCGATACCAGTAATATCGAACATAATCTACGATTTTCATGCCCTCCAGTCCACCACCACTCAGGCGTACACAAATCGTTTCCGAAACCAAATCCAAGAAGTGCGTTTGCCGCACGAGGATTCGCGCGAAGTGATGAGCGATGCTATATTATGATGGGGACGCTCTAGCTTCGAATTTGTTGACACACTGAAGTTAAACTTAGTGGTGCGTGCGTTACAAGCAGCCATCGAAGATGGTGACTCGTATCTTGTTGTGGATATCGTTGGCACGGGAGATGGTCACAGTACATTTAAGGTCAGTACCTCAGCAGTCGTCGTTTCTGCGGGCGCACGGATGATCAACCTAGGGTTATTTTACACTTTTGTAGTAACTTGGGTGAGGAGTTAAACAGCAAGCATGGAAGTCCGAAGCAGGGCTCGGATGAGCGTATCTTTCACAATCCCTCGACTGTTTATTCCCTTTCCCACATCCAAGGTGCCATTCATCTTCATTATCGTGCCTCATCATCATACCGCAGTCCTTACCCTTCAGAACGCTCTTCAACGTCCTTGAACCCATTATAGACTCTACACGTCTGTGCACGTCCACGAAGCATGGTTTTGGGCGTGCATGAACTCAGTTCTACCTTCGCTCAGTCCCTCCGTGACGTCGGCGTCACGCACATTCTCATGGTATGCGGAGCCGAAGGACTTCATGAGATTCGCTGTGCCGCCTCAACTTGGGCAATGTTATACGGGAGTCGCTGGTGCCTGTTCTGCCCTTTGCATAAATCGGATGCGTCGGCGTTTCGGCGCTGGTCGTTGCAGGTGTAGCCTCGTACTTCAAAAAAGGGGCTGCGCTAGCGATGAATAGCATAATGTCAAGACTTGCATGGGATCCTGCCCTTTTCGGAATGCAAGTAGAGAGACAGTGAAGGAGACAAGCGAACCTCAAAACGGCAGAGCTTGATGCAAACACCGAGATACTCGATATACTTTATCCGCCCAACTTGCACACATCAAGCTTCATTACAGCTACTTCAATAACGACAGACCAGATTCGCGCGCTCCACGTAGAGGAGTCGATATTGAAAATAGCGGGAACAAGGCAGATGGGCCACTGTACAAAAATTGTGTGCAAGTCTCATCCTCGTGGGCCAATCTTGTAATATCTTGTACGATCACGATGTCAGCGTATGTCGCGTGTCAACTCGACCATGTACCAAATATATTTTAACTGTGTTTTGCTCTCACTGGCAATCAATAAACCCTACTTGTTGAACAATGTTTTTGCCGGCGCTCGGCCCTACTCTAGTGAGCGCACTGGCAGCATAACAAACCGGCATTTGTCATGCTGTCAAAGAACCCGAGGCTGAATCAAACGGTGCATCATCGCCATCATGTGTATGAGTATGTGGTAAGAATTACTATAATAAAATCTCCATGCTCTTCATGATGCTGGCATGAATGCTGAGTTTTAACTTAGGGATTAATATTTTGACGAGCAGCAGCTGAGTATAAAGTGCGCGAGCGTGGAGCTGACGAACAACGAAACGAAGACAGACCCGCGCTTCAGCTTGATTGCACTCGTTATAAACTCGCACTTTTCGACGGTAAGAGTCCAGTCGCCAACCTGTAGATCCAACTTATGACATTGATGATCTAGATGAACCGTGACCTCTTGCCAATCATTCTCCTGGCATTAACAGCTGTTAGTCCGCTTGGCGCATGAGCCATGCCCGGCTCAGAGACTGTGACTACCTTGTCATGCACTTGGGCTAAGTGTGGAAAAACGTGCCCGGGATATGTCGCAGACACTAGAGGTTGCACCTTAGAAAACGGTATCCTGGAGACTCAATATTGTTGTGATTGATGGCCGCCGTAACGGGAGAGGTTGCAGTGTATTGGCGTAGTGGCGTGGGGAAGGTATTGTAATGCAAATGAGGAGTTCGGGAATGTCAGCGATGAAATACTTCACCAGAATTGCATCCTTCAGAGATCAGGGCCTGAAACAACATGTTATTCGTTACAGGCGGCGGGTGAGGATGAAATGTGCAGTCAGAATAACAGCAGGTTTGGTACTTAACTTGAAGTGGGAGGGTTCAACCGATCAGCCGCATCTGCCAGGTCACTGGCGCTCATTGTAATATCAAGTAACAGTTGATGTCAAAACCCGGAAGCCACCTGAACAACACCTAAAAACACCAAGACTTTAGTCATGACGCAGACTCGTAACCGGCTTTGCCTTGCATCGCAAGGGTGAACATAAACACACTGAAACTCTCAGAGTCAGAGGTCAGTGTGATGATCAACTGATGAATTCAGGTCACGTGCCCGTAAACTTGACTAAGTAAATTAAAATAACTCGGTGTTGTCAGTCACTGGTCCGAGTCATACTTCTTTCTTCAAGCTGACCACTGGGTCCAGTCCTGACATTGATAGCGACGAAATATACATAATGAAGTGCAAGTACTTGCCTCTCTCCCTAGTCTAACTCGTTCAATTTGCGACCGCACGCATTCCACAAGTTAAGCTCGCTCACATCCCAATATGATGGAATCATGAGCAGCTTACTGTTAAGTCTCAACGCAGCGACCGTCACATCTACACCGGTGTTCTGGCTTTTCCGGGTGAAGAGGATGGCGTTGGAGGTTTTTCCGTAGGGTGATATCGAACGCCTGGGCTAACCCCAAGAATCTCGTCCGCCTCTTGCGATCCAGCAAGCGGAACGTCTTTCCGAAGTGAGACTTTGACAGGATCTTCACCAGTTATGTACGCCAACGCAAACACAACGTCGAGGTCTTCCGGGATAGAATTAGCCAGGAGCCAGTCCTGGACAGAAGACAGTGTACAACATACCTTCTAAAGATCGACCGCCAGTTTCAGGGAAGAAAAAGTAAACAACTGGAACGATGGCTGCGTTCAGGGCCGCGAAGACGATGTAGGTTCGCCAGGAGATATCGTTGAAAGCTGGACCAACAACCATCACCACGACAAAGTTGAAAGTCCAGTTTGACGCTGGAAAAAATAGGTAAGTAGTTTGTCTCCATGTCTTGGCGTACGAGATTGACAGACCCGTGCTTAGCGCATTTGTCGGCGCTCGGGTTCTGAGCCCGGCAATCTCAGCGCACTGGAATAAAAAGATCAGATCAGCGAAAAGATCAAAGCAGCCGTTGCTGTACTGACGTATAACCAGGCCAGACCAAGCCACCCAAAAGCAAAGAACGTATTGAAGCCGAATAAGAGGACTACGCTCACGATCTGCGCTGGTGTATTGTTGATATATCCTAATACAGCCAAGAGCAGCATCACGATGCATTGACCGATGGCTCCAATCAGCATGAGCTGGCGCCGGCTAACATAGTCTATAGCATAATAAGCAGCAATAGAAGCAAGAACGTATTCTGCGCCGTTTGCCACAGAGGTAATCCGTGCGTTGACGTCGGAGAGACCGAGACGCTGGAATACAATAGTCTGCATGATATCAGTATTGTCGCAGCAGATCACGTGGGCGCATGACATACAGCATAACTGTTGACATAAATGAATTTTTAGATCACAGCAGGTCGCCATCAGGGGATTGAAATACCCACAAGGTAACGAGGTTGATGCCAGTCAGCTGCTGCATAATCATAAATACTACAGCAATGACTGTTCGCCTGAAATTTTGGCTGCGACCCCCAGTAGTGAGTTCACGTAGTGAACCTTGACTAGATGTTTCGACAGCAACAGCTTCACGAATACCGTAGTAAGTGCGCTGAACTTCTGGATCGGTGGGAGGTTTGTCTTCCATTGCGGATATAACGGCCATTGCTTCTGCATTGCGACCACGCTTCACCAACCTGGGTTTCTGATCAGTTTCACGAAAATTATGGAGAATGACGAGAACTCACCACCTCGGTGACTCGGGAAGCTTGCGTAGTGTACCAAATCGAATATGTTAGTACAAGTATGTACAGTTTGGGGAGAAAGTAAGCTCACGAATCCGATGCATGTCACCATAATGATTTCAAATACCAACTGCAGTGCTATCGGAACTCTCCACTGAGCAGAGGACCAATTCACGAAGAATCTGATTTGATCGTTGTCATTGGCTAGATCAAGCTTAATTGGTGATGAAACTGAAACATACAACGCTAAATCAACTAACTAAAGAAAGTTGTCAGCAACGATGAACTAATAAAATAATGATTCGCACACATAACTGCAAGCCAGTCGTCAATTCCAGAAAGATCGATGCAAAGCACACTCACGCAATGGTTACTCCAACCACAATCAAAGTCCCCTCCATCATTATCCTGGAAAAAATCTGGGTCTTTTCATTCTAATGCTATTATCAACGTACATTCGGCCCCTCTTTGCGGATGGGGAGAGCTCCGCATGATATGTTGGCACCGTCGATGTCTACAAACTTGTTTTCAGCAGGACTTTGGACACGAGTTGGCACATCACTGACTATCAGACCGTTTCCGTAGCCTGTGAAGATACGAGCAAAAATCAAGTCTGAAAAAGAAAACGCAGTGGTTTGCAGAATTGCCCCTGTAAGGAACTCAGCACGTGCTCTTAACGGGCCACAGACAGCTCGGTTACCGACTATCATTATGCCACCTCCTACAACAATCGTCCTTCGACGACCGAGCCTGTCTCCCACCCAAAGATTGGACAGGGCACCAAAGAGACAGCCTACTTCCTGCACGTTATGAGCACAAAAGATGATATACAAAAAGGTGACGACATACGTAAATGGCGATTGTGAAGCTTTGAAGAGTGGCGTGATTGGGGTGGCTGACCTCCACTACGACTTCAGGGAAGGTAGCCTCAAACTTATAGGATGAGTATATATTCGCATGCAAGCGACAGAACATGTCGTTACCTGATTGCCCGTAATTAGTGACGACATGACACCTTGGTCATACCTGAATCACAAAATGACGAGAATTTTCAATTATTAGCTACTCCTTAACGCACCCAAAGAGTGTGAACCCGGTTCCTGCTACAAACGCCACTGCAGCCGTTAGCTTACGACCACGCAACAACGGGGCATAAGCAGCGATATCTGCTGGATCCAAGTCGAATTGTTGTTTCATCCGCTCATGGTGAAGATCAGTGTTTTCTGCGACAGACGGCTGATGTTTCTCCTGGTCACCTGAAGGGAGAGACATAGTACTGCGTGGGTATTGATTCTTTCTTTTCAGATGACGAGATTTAAATACCTGGGTGGCTTCTAACTTCGATCCTGACATAGATGGTCATGGGGGTATGTCTACTGCGACCCCAGGATGACCTTCGGGAATCGGGATGCAAGCCGCAATATGATATTTCTGACACCCACGATGGGAGATAATGTCCAAGATTGCATTGTACGGGTCGGACTCTGTTACGCAGAGTGGTGACGACGTCCTGAGGAATGTAAGTATTTTCTATAAGAAGCTCCCGGTCACGCCGTTTTTGCAATATCTATATCATGGCTCGTGATACGTATGTTGGATAAAGATAGGTTGTTGAAATGTGCTTGTTAATGCAATATGGGAACATGTCCAACGACACATCATGATGAAGGTGTGAAAGCGGGGAATATTATTGGCGATCAACGACAGACTCATGAGGTCCTCGACAATTCGAAGATACGAGCAGAGAAGAGTTCTCGATTTACACGCAAATTATTCAATGGCAATAGTGTGATAGATGTAATAATACTTGACGGAGATCAGTTAGATCGGTATGTATGACAGAAGTACTAGGTGGACTTACAGCAGATGGGCCTTGCTTGGCCCTGATCTCATGATGTGTGGGGACCAAGTTCAGACTCCCCGGACAATGACAGGAGGAGGACCTGCTAGTTCTGCATACCGAGAAAGCAGTCTCTACGTTTGTAATTATCTAACGCTCATCGTTGAACGTTCTCAACGCTCCTACGCAAAGTGCCGTCGGCCCTTGCCGGAGGATCGGCACTGTCCGATAACGGCCGTCCGATGACCACCCCGATGATGATCATTAACTTTCATGACATCGGTGAATCATATGAACGGACCCCCGCAGCATTATTTTTTGCGCGTTTGTTTCTTGTTCGATAATCATAGTTCATGTCTTTTCACCTACCATCGGAGGGATACATAATTTGTCTTCCAAGACAAATCCAATAAGCACACGAGGATCGGCGACCGCAAAGTTACCACAGGTTGTTCAACCGTTGTTGTACATGATGAGCGAGGGGTGTACTAGGATAGGACCAACGCCCCACCGGAATACCCGACTGCCCGTCGACCAAGTGACCCAACTTGGGTTCAATAGTCACCGTCGCCACAACCGTCGATACTATTACTCTTACCTCGTTATTTCCGATTTCCTAATCCTCCTGGAATACATTTACGCCCATGGTAAGAGACATCAATTAACCTCGTTCTAAGGCCAGCGGCGCCCGCAACACTAGTTCACCCAACTTCCACGGAAATGATTCAAATTGAGTCACCCGTTTTTCGAAAAGAATCTCCTTTATTATACTTTTTGGGGTCATCAGTCATCGAAGTTCTTCTGCCAGTTGGCGGGCTCAATTGAGTCTTGACCGTGATTCTTGCAATTTTAGAATATGTCGGCAATTATGCTCCTATCGCTGACCTATTTCGGACTCTGCGGATGATCAGGCATCACAATAGCCCATTCCAACATCTCATCTCGGCAAATTATTACGGGTGCAGGCGCACAAGGTGGGGATTATTCTCAAATGATTAGGAATAACGGCACCTTCATAGATAATAGGATTCTCGGTTATTTATTAATCGAAATCAGTCGATCGTGGAAGGAAAGGATCGCAAATATGGCCCCGTTCCAAGGTCCAAATTCGAACAAAGTTGAGTTCTGCCCTCCCACCGGGGTTAAGACCAGCTTGTCTGCCCCCCTCATGTATCGGTATGTTGCATTGTGGCGTTTCCCTATCCACTTTGTTCTGTAACTTGGCAGCCTCGTGTTTGTAGGTAACCTTGGACACCGCAGCCCGATCTCAAGATCCCCACATTGTTAAAGCAAAGCCTATCCTCCGCCACAGCAGTGCATTACCATATAAAACCCCTTTCTCCTGTCAAATTTCTTCAGCCTTCATCCTCAAACAATCTTGCATCACTATGTCTTACTTCACTCCCGCTGCAAACTCCGACGTTAGCAACAGACGTGGGCACTCTCAGGTCTCTTCGCACCACACATCTTTTTCGCTTCCCTCGTCCGGTGGCGGGTACGCACAGTCTCCTCCACCGACGAGGACAGGTGGGTGTATCCCTCCCCCTGTCGGTGCCATGCAATCGTCTGGACAAACGGTGCTTGATTGCCCGCGCTGTCACGAAATTCTCCCACCCGGCCTTGATCTCGCCACCCATTTTATTGGATGTGGTGCAGCAACGCTCCTCACCAATGCCTATACACCCTTTGATTATCCTTCCCGGCCGAATCACACGGGAGGTCAGCGTCAGCCCCCCAATTTCCAACATCCTCCGCCGAATTATAACGGCAGATCAGGTTCTCGCAGATGATTGTTGCGTGAGTAGCATCTTTCATCCACGCGATTGACATTGATCCTGTGGTTAGTTTCAGAAGCTGTCCGAACGTGTCACTGCTTTGTACTCTACAACATCACGATTACCGCGCCTTTATTTTCCACGGTAGACGCCGTATGACATGCATTGCACGTTGGTTGATCTTTATCAGATGATTTTTTTTGGCACTGCCTCACTATTGCATATGCTTCCCCATCCACCTTATTGTTCCTGATACTGCTGTGGTTCTGATGGAGTTTCCTTGTTTTGTCTCGTTATCTGTAGCTTACCTGACTTGATCTCAGATTTGGTGTATCATTTCTTTATGGTGTAACTTGTCTCCAACGTGCCTGACTAAACAATCCAATAATGCTTTGAATGATCTTCCTTTACAAGACTACTTACACGTAAAGTACACAAAAGAGTGGTCAAGTAAGTCAATAGTCATACAATGTCTGTACCGCCCAACTGCACGCGGAAGGATCAGCAGATGTATCGTTGTGAGAGTCCATATTAAGCACACAATGCCATTCAATCATTGGTAGCCACAATCACCATAGTCTTGTCCTTCTCCCGCGATAACTCGTTGGAGCTACGGGGACTAGAATGCAGAGCGTCATCAAGGTTGGTAAGGCCGAGACCTGTGACGGCTGACAGCGCGCCACCATCCGGACGATCCCTATCAAGACGCCCACGCCCTTCTCCCGTGAAGCGCGCTCTGCCTCTTGACAGATGTCCTGCCCGTCTCCCTCGGTCCTCCCGTTCACGGTCAGCAGAAGGCCGTGCGCGTGACGAATCATCAGTGCCCAGTAACTGCATTTCACCATCTACATCCCGGGTGCGTGCGTAGTTATGCAGTGTCTTGATGATCAACATGAAGTCGATTAACCCGACTATGAATAGGGACGTGATGGCGATGCGTGGGCCCAGTATGGCGTATGGGGAGAGCGGTGCGGGGCTGGGGTTGTCTGCTGAAGAATCAGAGCGCCACACGAAGGAGAGAATGGCAACGATGAAAAAGAACATAGACCTAAAAAGTACATGTGAGGGTGTGAGAATGCGATGGGAGCGGCAAGGACAAACCAGGCAAGCCATACTGCAGGCATCGCTAATAGGACCCACACATTCCACCAAATGAATGTTGTCGTTTTACGTGCTTCCTGTGGGGTTGCTGTGAGCTTGCGTCAATGGACAGCAGCGCCACGCGCCACGTACCTCAGCCCATCGGGTAGCTTTATACATACTTCTCATGGTGCCAAAGCGGACGATGTAGATACAGCCGAAAGTTAGGCTCATCAATGCGGACGTCAGCGAAAGTAGCGCTGCTGTGCGAATCACAGGATCCTGAGCCATCACGACATTCTGAAACATGGATAATATGGCACTGTAGGAGGGGCATTTAACAACCTCCGAACGTAAAGCAACGGTAGTAACTTACGAAAGCAATAAAGCGGAGACAAGGTTTAGGGTCTTCCACTCTCGGAGCAGGGAGTCGATAAACGCCTCCCAGGAATGCTTGAATCGGATGAGAGCTGGGGAGACGTTGGCGATGGTCCATTCATCTGCTAAAGGGAGAGTAGGCTGGGGGTGGTAGTGGGCTCCTGGCGGTACGTGGCTGGAGTTGTGGTTCTGCAGTTGGGGCGCACAGGCATCAACCAATCGTTGAATGTCCGGGCGACTGAGCTCTGCATCCTCATAAATACGAGCGATGCGTGAAAAATAAAGAGAGGGAAGGCGAAACAGTAAATGTAGGTAGATTTGCCGAGGGAGAGTATCCATTAAAAAATAACGAGAGGAGCGGAGAAATCTTCGCGAAGACTTTAATGGGGAACATGTTATTGGACGGGGTAGACATTGCTTAAGCGAATCCTCGCAGTTGGGATCAAAGCTTTGATCATTGTGGATTTCAGGGCTACCGATAGAAAATCTGCGTAACGGGTTTCGCCTTTGGAAGGGGTTCTGAGGGACGAATGGTTCTTCGCGGGTTTCCTTACGATGAAAGCCGGTCCATGATGCGAACATGCGCATGGGAGATGCAGCTCGAGATTGTGACGCGGAAGGAGATTCGTAACTACCCTTCCTGGGTGTTTGAGCACCCGCGCGCATGGCTGAGGATGGTCGAGGGGGGTCGCTTGGGCGGCGAAACCGAGATAGTGCTGACTCGATCAGCGGTGACCTTGAGGGCAGAGCGCCGCCGTCGCGAAGTAAGGGATGGTGTACGTTATTCCCTGAACGAGAATTATTACTGGGAGGGGATGGTATGCGAGAAGGGCCACTCTCGAAAGAGACGCGTTGAAATGGACTGCCCTTGCCGATGGAACCCTCTGGAATGGTAATGGTTGCCTTGGGCATGTCATGGTCAGGAGTGGAAGTATCAGGATGGCCCATAAAATTTCCCAGGGAAGGAACTGATTGTGAAGCTTGGATGCTCTGACGCTCCACCCTTACGATACGGGGACGCGTCAAAGAAGAGTCGGGGAGCGCGGATAGCTTGTCTGAGCTAGTAAGCTGTGAATCACTGCTAGATCTTGCGACTAAAATTTCAAATAAATTTAAGGACTTTGGAGTGGCTGAAAGTACAAAGGCGCACCATGAGATGGGAATGTCTCGGGTCGGATATCAGGTGACAGCGCGTCCTGCAGGGTGATTGCTCGCTCAGATAACGAAGCTCGAGCTTCAGAGTATGGAAAAGTGTTGTTCATTAAGTTAAAAAAAAACTTGTGAAGTCGTTACAGGTCGTGAATACGTGAGAGACAGATGGGAGAAATTAACTAGAAAGCACTTCTGCGGACTATCGCTTTAAATGTCATAGGTTAGCCTGTTGCCGTAAACTCGCCTTGAAGGGCTTGCTTGACAGTCTGTGTGGAAACGAATACCTGCACCTTTTTTGGGTTGCTTTGATCAGCATCAAAGGTAAGCCCGGTCACATGTGTGACAAGATCACGGGACGCGAATTGCCGTTTACGTCATGAGCCTTCAGCAAGCTGGAGGGATGCAAACAGCAACATTGACGACAAAAACTGAGCACTTCTTCCCTTGGAACTTCCACCACGTCGTCTCATCCACTTCAACTAAAAGTCCTCATCTAGCCTTATTTTTTCCTTTTTTTCTGCTCAAATTCGTGGTTTTCCGCATGGATATTCAAGACTACCAAGATCGCAGAGAATTTATGGTTTTCAAGTGGAGAAACTTGGTCGTTTTGAAAGGATTGGCCTGTTGAAGGGGAGGGGGAAATGGGGAGGGCACCAACTTCGGAGCAACATGGTCACCACGCGCCATCAAACACAAACAAAGCCAAACAATCAATAGCAGGCAATAGCCACCTCCAAACAAAGGTGGTGTCAGTGCTTCTGCCAACGTCCTCGCTTGTTTCATCCAATTTTCATCGAAAAATCGACCAAGAAATAATCAACCAGTCATCGTAGACGTCAAGTCTCTCTTGCGCACTCCTATTGCGCTCCTTTTTCGCGATTTTGCGCTGTGACATTTGTCTATGCAAGATCCCGATCCACCACTTCCTCAGCAGGACTTTCATTCAGTAGAACCATCTGAATCACTCTACTTGCCATCGCCCCACGAAGAGCCACCGCCAGTTGTACCAAAACTCACCATTAAGATTCCTCCAATTGTTAAGCTACCACCAGCTCTAATGACTCAAGGTATCGATGTTCCGCGTCGTTCAACCAGAAACCGCAGATCCTCTCAATCCAGTTCAGAGTACCTCGAAAGTGATAAGTCCGTGATGGATGAGGACGACCACCCACCAGTCTCCGCGGAATCACCAGAATCTCCTCCCCCTGCTACCTTCGTCAAGTCCCAGAGAGGTCGCACGGTCAAGCTAACCCAATATCGCGAGTCGAGTGATGACGAGGTCAACAAGATATTCCGAGATGATGAAGATGTCGAACTCGTCAATTCTCATATCGACGCGATGGATGGTGATGATGAAGGTGACGATCAACCACGTCGAAAAACGCGCTCTTCCAGCAAACGCAGTTCCATCAATGACGACATAATAAGTAATCGTCGTGTCCTTCGTAATAGGAACAAGAATCCCCCACCCCCTCCTACAACTTCTAGCGGACGTGTCACTCGTCAACCCAAGCGCTATGAGCCCGGTAACAACCCTCCCAAGAGATTGACGCGTGCTCAAAGTAAAGCCGCTGCTGAATTGGATGATGGCTATATCGACGAGCCATCGGACGGCTCAGCTGATGCAGATGGCTCCCTTGATGACGCACCACGCACATCCTCAGATAACGACCTCGATGCCGAAGGTGAAGCGGATTTGGATGGCGAGGTTGAACATGATCTTCAGGAGCTGCAGGAGAATGGTCGACCATACTCACTACGACAACGTGCCAAAATCAACTATGCCATCCCACCAGCACTGGAGGAGATGAAACAAGCCAAACCGCGTCCGGCTGGTGGTCGAGGTGGGGGCAATCGAAGGCGTGGACCAGGATGGAGTGCCTCTGGTGCTGAACTGAGCAGGTGGATGGGCATGGCCCCAGCCGATGACTCGGTGCGTCATCATACCTGTTTGCCGCATATGGCAGTCAGCTAATCCACATTTATGCTAGGATTCCGACTTCCCAACTCGAACACCCCGTAAACCTTTTGGGGGTGCCGGTGTTTTTGGTGCCGGAGGCCCTGTTTCGGCGGGTGGCGCTGGTTTACTGCCAGGCGACCTTGCTGCTGCTGCTGGCACTCCGTCGAACCTGGGTAAAATTGGTGATGCAGGTGATTGTTGTTGCCACTTGCAAATCCTCTCAAACTCATCCGTTTGCAGCATTGGCTGATGCAGACCCATTGGGAGTAAACACCAATGTCACCTTCGATGAAGTTGGTGGCTTGGATGATCGTGCGTGTTCTTCCATTCGGTTGCCATACGTTCTTGACCTCCTGTCTACAGACATACATTCTTTGAAGGAAATGACACTCCTTCCACTACTATACCCGGAAGTCTTCCAGCGGTTCAATCTAACGCCTCCTCGTGGAGTCCTATTCCACGGTCCTCCTGGTACAGGAAAAACGCTTCTCGCCCGTGCTCTTGCCGCGAGTTCTCGGGCTAATGGCAAGGGAGTCTGTAAGTTATACTCCTTTCCGCCAGGACATCACCTCTCATAATCTGGTAGCTTTCTTCATGCGCAAGGGTGCTGACTGCCTGTCAAAATGGGTTGGTGAGGCTGAACGCCAACTGCGTCTTCTGTTCGAGGAAGCACGCAATTGCCAACCGAGTATCATCTTCTTTGATGAAATTGATGGATTAGCACCTGTCCGGTCATCGAAGCAGGACCAGATCCATGCTTCGATTGTTTCAACGCTTCTAGCGCTGATGGACGGTATGGACGGACGTGGCCAGGTAATTGTCATAGGCGCCACCAACCGTCCAGATGCCATCGACCCTGCTCTACGAAGACCTGGCCGATTCGACAGAGAATTTTATTTTCCCCTTCCATCTCTCGAGGCTCGTGAACGTATATTGACGATCATGACAAAGGACTGGGAGGGCTGGAAGGACGGAGAAGGTGCTGAGAATATCAAGGGACTTGCAAAGTTCACGAAGGGCTATGGTGGTGCTGATCTTCGGGTATGCGAATCCACAGCTGCGCGTGCTGGTCGTCATACTTACCTATACTACAGGCCTTGTGCACCGAGGCGGCTTTGAACGCTATTCAGCGGCGGTATCCTCAGATATACCAGTCTAATGACCGGCTGCTCCTTAAGCCCGAAACCATCGGCGTAACATTCAGAGACTTCATGATCTCCATCAAAAGTACATTTGTTTTATGCAATACAGATAGTTGTTATATCTGACGCCTCATTTCTAGAGCTCGTTCCGTCATCTGCACGCTCGTCGTCCTCATCCGCTTCACCTCTCCCGACTCAGCTTGCTCCTTTACTTTCGGACACCTTAGAGAAGGTGAAAGACGCTATCAACAGAGTTCTTCCTGTTAGCAAGAAGCGCACTGCTTTGGAAGAAGCTATGTGGGAAGAGGATAGTGAGGCAAATGCCCTTGATAGGGAACTGTTCATCCAATGTGAGTGGTGGCCGTTGGTTAGTCAATGGAGTTACTGATTGTCCCATAGCTATGGAGACCTTACGTGTCTACCGACCACGACTGGTACTCCATGGGCCTGCTGGTATGGGACAAGGCTATTTAGGAGCCGCCGCCCTCCATCATTTGGAGGGATATCATGTTCAGACTCTTGATCTGGGGACACTTATGGGGGACTCAGCACGGGTAAGCTTGTCTCATCCTGACATATTCGTCCTCTTGATGGCATTATCAGACTGTGGAAGCCGCTGTAGTTCAACTATTCGTCGAGGCTAAAAGACACCAGCCCTCGGTTATCTACCTTCCTTCTCTCGATGGGTGGTCAGCAGCGGTTTCCGAAACTGCACGATCCACTGTCAGATCCATGCTTGATTCGCTTGCGCCTACAGATCCCGTCCTCGTACTTGCTATTGTAGACGGTCCATTTTCCTCACTACCCCGTGATGTCCGTTCATGGTTCGGTATGATCCGCGAGAATCGTCTCACACTACCAAGTCCCACTGAAGCTCAGCGAGAAGCCTTCTTCTCGAGTATCATCGCTGACATCCGTCGACCGCCGAATCAGTTCGCAGATGGTGTCAAGCGCCGAAAACGAATTCTTGAGGAGCTACCGATTGCACCACCCCTTGAGCCCCGTCAGCCAACCGCTGCTGAACTTGCTGTTCAGGAAGAGAGTGACCAGCGTGTCATCACATTACTGAAATATCGTCTCGGCCCTATACTAACAGAGCTGAAACGCAAATTCAAACGATTTACCAAGAAAGCTAGGGTGAGTATGAATCTTATTGTGACTGCTTGTGCAATCACTGATATTCTGTTTTAGGAGGAGTATGACTTCGATCCAATTCCTATGGTCAACGAAGTAGAAATTATTGCTACCACCACCACCGTAACCATGCAAGCCGAAAATGATGTCATCGACGTTTGTGAGCCGGTCATCCAGGAGCAGCCAAACGGCATCGTCAATGGCGACCACCCTGATCCTCAGCCAATTGAGCATCCGGCGCCACCACAGCCACAAGAGCCACAGCTATTCGACATGGACCTCGAGAGAATGCACGTTGACCTGTACAAGGGCAAGTACCTCACTCCGCAAGATTTCCTAGACGACATCAACAAGATTGTTTTCAATGCCGCGGCACGCTCATATCAGGATCCTACTGGTGATAGGCTATATAGAGCACAAGCTATGCTGACTGCTGCTGAAGTGAACATCCAAGACTTCGATGCTCAGTTTAAGCATGAGTGTCAACGGATGGCTGAGCGGGAACGAAAGAGAAGGGAGGAGTACAAGAAGGCGAAAGGGAAGGGCCGGACCGGAGAGGACGCTCAGAACGGTGCGGCAGCGCCTCGCAGGAGTGCTCGCCACAATGGCCAACAGCTGGAGATTACTATTACGGATCCGTCACAATTGGAAAGGCGACTGAAAAGGGCACGTTCTACTGAGCGCCACAGCGGTTCTCCTGAATCAGGTGACGATAAGGCAGAAGAACCTAGCACCCCTCGGAGCTCGAAACGTCAGCGGACGATAACGAGCGATGATGACCATGACCCGATGGACATCATCGGTGCATCTCGCGGTCAGAACAGAGGTTCAGCTGTGCGTTTTGCAAATGACGTTCAGCCGCCTCCTGAAAGTGATGTGTTACCCGTTTATGATGCACCTATCGCCATGGACGGTCTGTCAAATCCAAGTGCGATGGCTGTCGACTCTCCTTCGCCGCGGAAACCGGCTGGCTTTGACCCTATGCTCTTAAATCCGATGTCCCCTGACGGCGGGTTCCCAGCAACGTCGATGTCACACCTCCTCAATGGTGCAGGACCGTCGACAGTGCCCACGCAAGATGGGTGTACCCCTCCTCTTCCTTTCTTGTCCCCAGCGATCGGAGTCGCGCTTCTAAACCCATTAATGCCGCCTCCCCGCACGCCCTCTCCACTACCCATTCGGACATTATCCCCTGTCACTGACGTTATACAAGAGCAAGCCATGGTGGTCGTACCCCCAGTGGAAATAGAAAGAACTCCAACTCCTTTGCCAGACTTCCATGTCGACGAACATCTACTTTCGACCCTTCAGGATGATTTATGTTCTAAAACCGGGCAGCTTTCCGTCGAGCTTCTCGAACAGCTTCGTGCAGCAGCGCTTGGGTGCATCTGGAGACACCGTACCGACTGGGACCGTGATGAGCTCATAAGAGAGATGAAAGATACTCTGAAAGAATTTTTGGAAGACTTTGCTGCTGGGGGTGATGATCCTGACTCGCCTTGAAGTTTGGAGTGTGTTGACTTTATCGATTTGATGTGATAGATTATTGTTTTTATTTCACAGCTCTATGTATCTTTACATCGTTAGTACTTGTAGCGTTTGCAATATTGACATCCCCCCTTGCGTGGAATCGAGATGCATGGTATTTTGATCCGTCTTGAGTCGAGCTCGACATCAAAGCGTTGCAATCGCTTCCATCAAGTTAGTAACGCGTAACTTGAAGACTAGACAACTATGTTACAGTGCCCCCTAGCTATCGCCTTCACTCGGCACCGTGATAACTCCGATCAAATATCAAAATCAACAAACAAAAAAGAGGAAAAAAGGCTAAGGAACCGTCGGTCAACGTGAACTTTTGATATGCATCATCATTCGCGTAAGTATGTCCTGTACTGATGCATATTTTTAGTATGCTCGTATGACAATATTAATCCCCGAGGTTTATATTGTTAACTGGCCCGGGAGTACAACGACTCCGAGGGACTTTCGTACGTAGTTCGCTTCAACCGCGACACATCTCTGTCATGATGATGTTGTTTCGAATCTGGAGACCTCTTCCGATGATTTTGCCACTAGTAAGTCTCAAAATGATCGCCTTTGTAAATGATGGTGACGCTGACGCCGGAACAAATGAAGGCTGTGTACATAGATGTATTTATTCTGCTATTGCGCAGTCTCGGCTATTACAGGTGATTCAAATCAATGTACCCCATCTACATCAAGGCACAGAAGCTGTTCCCGTGGACTTCCTGTCTACCAAAATCAGTCCGGTCGTTCTAACAGGCGGATGGTGTTCTTCGCGTCCTTGATGCTGCATGTGCAACACGGTGTGGGTTATGTCAGGGCCGTGTATTTTGAGTCAAAACAGGCCCATAGGGCCATATTATGACCCTCGACGTCACTCCCGTACGTACTCGATGATGCTTTCTTTTACATATATACGCAATCAATTAATCATTCTTCGCTACACACCTCATACACGTTCACCTTGGATTCTACGTCTCAACCAACGTATTAATTCCCCTCCCCGCGAATAATCTCCCCCAGTCTTTTAATCCAAGATTCAGGTGAGCTCCCTTATTTACGGTTCTACGTACACTTTCCTGACTACCTAGTCCCTCCTAGCCGAGCCTCTTCATTCGTAAGAGCATCGTCTCCAGAACAGGTATAAACCGCTGACTTGAAGGACCTTATGATCGTCTCATAGTAGCTATCTTATGAGATCTGTATTCTAGTACTACACTCAACATGTCCCAAATTGATCTGAATAGTACCTTCGGGGCGCTTTATATCGGCGGTACTATCGGCGCAATGTGAGTCCAATATTCAATGCATCATAGGGTCACTCAGTTCCGACTGATCTTGATAGTCTTTTTGGTCTGAGCAACGTCCAAGCGTTTCTCTACTTCCAGTCACGCAAGGGCTCGGGATTCACATTCTACAAGCTTGCCGTAAGTCCCTATGTACTATACTGAGAGATAGGCCTTATTATAACTCAATGGTTTAAGGTATCCTGGCTCTGGTAAATGTCTCTAGGGCTTGTTACCGGTGCTAGGGCTGACTTGGTAATCGCACTTGCTAGGTTACTCGATGTTTTGCATGTCTGTTTGGTGAATCATCTGATATACTATTATCTGATCACCAACTACGCAAATCCACCCGCACTTCTCGAGATGGTGTGGAGCTTCAAGGTACGCAATGATCGCAACTATACTGGACTGCCACTTTCTGAACTTCATTACGCGTAGGCGCTGATAATCGTCGACGTAAGTTAGAACAAGCAATGCTGCGTAATATACTTCACCGTTTCATTGTTTTTCAGGTATTTATTGTGTATAGCGTGCACAGGTAAGTGTTACTTCTGCCAATGGTTTTTATTTGCTGATACACTTACATATAGCCTATACATACAGCGTATATGGATAAGTATGCATCTGTGTGGACTACAATGACACCGATGTGCTCACCTGATTGTCTTAGTTAGCAAAGGGAGGACAAGAATTTTGCCTGTCTTCATGGTAAGTGCTCATGTTATAGCTTGTTTTCTCTCACCCTGAAACGACCATAAGACGGTTATCATCGTCCTTGCATCGGGCAAGTGTATAGATTGCGTTGCAAACATTTTGACTGACATTAAACTATCTGTATCGCAGGTATTGGATTCGGTGAAGTAAAATGCGAAATTCTGTTGATCTATTACTGACCTCTATCCCCATTCATTAGTCCTGGCCTGGGCTGTGTAAATCAATCACTCGCTGCACCTGTTGCTTTCTCATCGAACACATTGATCTAGATTCAAGTCCCACCTATTTTCGGACCTGTCCAAGATCCGGTGGTCCATCTACCTGAGTTTAAGTGCAATGACTCTGATTGACTTTCTCATCGCCTCTTCATTGTGTTACCTTCTTATCTCTTCCAGGACGGGGTTCACTAAGTATGACTTTCCCTGATGTTTTGTTCCTCTGGCTAATAGTATCGTAGAACGGATATAACTCTTCGGACACTCGTAAGAGACATTATCAATACAGGATGCTTGACGAGGTACGTGTCTCGTTATTATCCTTTCACCAGCCTGCCACTGATACCCCACTTTCTGAAGCATGTGCTCGATGGCGTGCATCATTACGGTGAGAATCCTGATGAGTCAATCACACCATGTGGCTTATTATTGCCTACTATAGGACGCAGCAATGCCAAACAACTTCGTCTTCCTTGGAATTGAATTTCTACTGTCCAAATGTACGCTTTACTAATTTCCTATCACATACAGAAAGCTTATTTGATGCACCTAGTATACGTGAACTCCTATATGGCTCTACTGAACGCGCGTCATTACCTAGGGTCGGATGGAAGCCCACACAGTTCACAAAACCGACCCCCACACGTCTACCGCCCAGATGTGCAAGTCAACATTTCACATGAACTACAAGACAGATCTCCCCGAACATCCAAAATGGACAGATTCCAGATGTCTGACACCGCCCTGGAACACCCGACTTATTACTCTCCTGCTGTGGTTCGTTCCAAGATGACTTTTAGTTTGTGTGTTGGCTAATGTAAATTTCAGACGGGATATGCACATTCTACTGCGGTGGTTGTATAGATGTAAGATGGGAGTCTTTCTATTGGGAACTCTTTCGTGAGCTTGCTATGGTAGACCATATTGTGAAATGTTTAGCCAGACGTACTTGTTCGGTTCTAGCATTTGTTAGTCCAGTTTACACGTCATTCATGCTTATATCCCGGTGATAGATTAGCTAGAATTGAATCCAAGGATCATCCTTCTCTAAATAAGCAAAGCCGAGGACGGTAGGTCGAAGACTCGATGTCAAGGTGCACAGTAGTACTGTCCTACATAGAGTCTTACTCTCAATGACAAAAAATGGATATATATATAAAAGGTGCACAGCATATACTTCGCGCATGCAGGCTGCCTCCAGGCGAGTCGATCTTCCTTACCCCTATTTCTTGTCGACCTGATGCATATGCATGCTACCAACAGTCGTTATACATACATACTATGTCAGGTAACAAAGGAAAGACGAACGAGATCAGTATTAGCATAGTCTCCTCACAAAAGATGGAGATACTCCAAGGCAAGAAACTAGTGGAAGAATCGCATCACACGAGTCGTACGTTGAAGGGGCAAGTCCCAAAACCCAGCCCAGAATATAAAATCACGACTGACACATGGAAACGAAATGACTTACATGCTCAGTTCCTCATCCTGAACAATATCAGTGATGGAAAGATGGTACATACACGTGTATAAGTGCAATACTGCCACCGAAATATGGAGGAATCTGAATCTAGAAGCTTGTGATACACGAGGTCACCGGATGGCGTCATTGCCGGCATACATCGAGAACATGCTCCCTGAGCTCGACACGGACATACCCGTTGAAACATGTTAACGAAATTAAGAGACTGCGGTATGAACTGCATGATGAAAAGTTCTGGTCCATCCTCGCTGCCTCCTCGCCAGAATCGCATTCGGGAGATTCCGAGGAAGACGGGAAGCAGCGCACATCTCAAGCATTGATCTGCGTGAGTGTCAATGAGTGGAATCGCCATCATCTAGGACTGCCGTTGGGTCCCCAATAGTTTCAGGCAAAGGAGGCTGCACTTGGCAAGATGAAGAACAAGTCGTGTTGAAAAGCGTTTGATCTGCAGGAGGACCAATTAATCAGTGGGTTATGACGAGAGAGGTGGTCTATTGGTGTAAGAGATGGGATCAAGATGAAGTGTCAGAGATGGATTCCAAGCGACATGATGGTGAGAGTGTTGCGGAATCACTGGACTTGCAATATGATTATAAAGAAGATACAGGGAAGGCAACAATTACGAAAAACCACGGGTTAGATTTTAAGCACGTCGAAATAAAACTAATAACGGCGACCACCGCGAGTCCCTCCCCCAGGTCCTTGGTATGGTCCATAATCCGGAGGTGGTCGACCACCGCCTGTGCATAAATTAGAAGATATGTCCACTGAAATTAATCAGTATACGCACCAGTACGGGCAGCAGGAGCGCCGGCGGGAGTGGCGTAGGTGGCGGGGGGTAGCACGTCTGGTAGCACTAGGAATCACAGCATTGCGTAACAACATCATCAGATCATCAGTTCGGAACACGGGGCCTATAAAAATTTTCACATCAGGGATTTCTCAGTTTTTAGAAAATAGTGACGGACCATCAAAGGAAGCTGGGCTAGGTAGCTGTCCAACAAACCACGAGATAACAGTGGGCAAAGTAGACGGCTTGTCATCTTCGCGTTCTTTTTTAACATGCTGCAGTTCTCTGTCTCGCTCTCTTTCCCAGCCTGCAGGGCTTCCGAATCGCCTTCTAGGAGGACCCTCCCACCTCTCTCGGTCACGGTCGCGAGGCGGAGGAGATGATGGCCTCTGTCGCTTGCTAGGGGGGCCAAAGTCGGGTCTAGCAGATCCCTCGCGTCTCTTGTAGTCCGGAGATGAGGCTCTCTTTGTGGGCGGTTGGGCGGCCATATGCGAAGCTGACGTCAAGGAGAACAAAGAGTCTGTTCGCTTTTCAATAGAATTCGAGGTGCTAGCTGAACCCAACGCGGCAGGCTGACGAGCTGCCATGGCAAACCCAAGATCCCGTGCTGCAATGGCATCAGTTCCCAGATATGTATGTCGTTGAGCAAACCGTTTGATGGGCGGATCTTGAGAGAACTGTGAGCTCGACATCCTAAATGAAGTATGCGTGCACGTACCCGAGGGATAAACTTCAGCTATTCTCTTTTCAAGTTTCTGTGCTGCCTCAAGATCACCATACTGGTACTCATAACGAGCCCACCTTTCCCATAGAGGACGAGCACGTTCAGGCGGGAAAGCTGTGATAACCCGTTCAAAAAGAGCTCGAGCATCTAGGCAAGAAAACAGTGAGTGGCCGAACAACAAGTAAAGAAAATGGAACTCAACTGTTCTCGTCGTTCACGGATATCAAAAACCCAAGATATCTCAGAACAAACTCAATCTCGTCACCATAAGTTTCCAAACCTTTCTCAAAGATACGCGATGCCACGCCGGTACCACCATCTTTGTTGCAGTGGTATTCCATTAAAGCTGAAGAGGGACCATCATTATCTGCGGCTCTAACTCTCGGGCCATCAACGTACCAGCGGCTTCATACACCTCCCATGGTGTCCATCGGTCACGCCTAGCTTTCGCAAAAACTGAACGGAAAGCCTTGAGGTCGAGAGCACGTCGTGCAAACCGAATGTACATGATCCAAACAACACCATATTCTTGTCTTCGGTCGGAGAGCTCTTTGACTTTTGGAGGCTTCTCATCGGAAGCCTGAGTGGCAAAGGAAGAAGTATTGGAGATCGTTCCCCGCTTCTAACGACCCTGAACCATTCCCAGCTGGAGCACTCGTAGGCACGGTACGACCGGAGCCATCAGACGTAAAAGACGAGTTGGCGGAATTAACACGATTTTCGAGCTCATCCAACTCAGCACGCAAGACGTCAAGGAACTTGTCGAACGTCGCAGTGACCTCAGCGTGTTCCTTGCGGGACTCTTGCAGCTCACAGTATGCAAAGTGGAGGAGGAAGCTGGTAGGATTGGCCTCCATGCCAGATTTGAGGATATTCAGCGCCTCTTCCGGCTTACCCATGCTGTTTGTCCACACGAAAGACATATACCTGTACAGACGATAAGCTATCCATGACAGAGTTAAAATTGGAGACAAACCATATTTCCGCATAAAACCTCATTCGTATAGCAGCTTTGCGATACACACCCTGTATACGTGAAATAAGGGTTGCTTTATCCTTGTCCTCAAATTCGAGTGGGTTGCTCTCTTCCCACTTCAAGTAAGTTTTCCAAGCCCCGACAAGTGCCCTTTCAGCTGCATTGAACGTAGGAGTAGGAGGAAGATATAAATGCGGTCGTGTCGACGAAGAAGCTGGCGGCGGAGGGAACAGCGGTCCTAGGTGCCGTTGGAGCTGACGAAGCACTGTACGAGCTTGCATGTATGATGGAGATAGATCTGACATGAACTTCTTGGCCTGTACCACCATTAATATCACATCATGTCACATTAGCCAAGTCAACTACCGTTATCTTGTTGAGGCTATTTTCGAAAGTCTCCAGTTCTGACCAGAGCCTCTCGACATTTTCAAGAGGAATTTGAACGGCACGATGGTAAACCTTGCGCAGTGAATCCATTTTTTGCTGTTCCTCCCATGTTGTAGTTGTCTGTACAGGCGTTAGCGGCGTGCTGAAAGTGGCAGGAGGATGACAAACCTCTCCGGCCTTAAGGAACTGGATATAATCACTCCAAATGTCCCCGCTATCTTTGTCTTGGCCTATACGGCTCAAGGCAAACTCATATGCTTTGCTAACAGCTTCGCGACTGGCCGGTGATGTATTAACTCGTCTGGGCAAGTAGTTCAATGCATCTGGAATATAGCGTGCATATCACACTGACCTGACGTAGGTAAGATAGAACTTCCAGAGGTCGACTAGAGGAGAGGATCTCAGGAATCTTCTGAAGAGTTCTTCGGCGTACGGAAAGAGACCGGGGCTCAGAAAATGGTTGAGATAGGCAATTTGAGCGGACGACTTGGTGTTTGTATACATGTTAAGGACTGTCGAGTGCAAGGCTGGAAGGTGCATACCGTGTTGGGATAGACTTCAAGCAGAGCTTCATAGTTCTGTTTTATTTGTTCAATTTCACCGCGCGCCTCGGCGAGGTCGACGAGTTTGTTCCAGCCGTCTGGATCATGAGGTTGCTCACGCAGCTTCTCCCGCAGAACATGCCATTCAGACGGAGCTTCTTGACTCGGAGTATCTTGCTTGACATTGCCTTGCTGAGCTGGAGATTGTTCGTGTCCGTTTTGACCGGTTGTCTGGTTGAGAGCATTCAGAGCATTCAGAATCTCTTCGGTTGGCTGAGTCTTGTCTCCAATATACTCGGTGTCGTTGGCTGCGATTTCTGTTGGTGTTTCGATACCGACTATACTGTCCTGTTGTTCCTCAGACATGTCCGTCATAAAAACGGAAAAAAAAGAATGGTTTGGAGGAGAGTTCATCATACACAACAACCCCACTGCTATTTCCCACGCTCAGTTGTTCAATCATCCACATCCACCACCACTGCCAGCTTGAATTTGTGGAACGACATGCCTCTGCGAGGGACTGGCCATGGAAAACTCGTTGGTGACGAGGCACCCTACTTTGAGTCTCTGGCCGAGCTTGATCAGTGGGCTAGTCTCCCTCACGAAAAGTTGATGGCTGTCTTGGAGTATCAGGCCCGTCCTCAGTTTGCAGAATCATCGAACCGGAAAGGGAAGCTTTTGGTGAAGAAGCAAAACTCATGCTCTTCCACGATGCCCCACTGACCTGCCTATCAAAGGTGTGCCACGATTATAAAGTCAGTAGGTGACTCGGTTGATTTATGTCATGATCATCATCAGTAGCCGTAATGAAATGACTCGGTCTTCCATTCTGCATAGGGAGGGTATACAGAATCTCCTTCTGGCCTGTGCTATACATTCAATTTTTGGCCTTTATGTGACACATTTGTATAGTGCGTTGACCTCATCGATTACCTTATCGTACCTCATCACTTGCGCCAGCTTCTCGCATCACAGAATCACTGTTCCTCCATCAGGATGGATCAATGCTGCACACCGACAAGGGGTTAAGATGCTCGGAACATTGTGAGCTCCACAAAGCACCATTACATAACCCGCACCCCACTCACCCCGTTCCAGAATATTTGAGGGATCTGGAGAAGCTGATTGCCTCCAGCTGATAGTTGGATGTCCTCAGGCGGGCCCAACTTTACGTACAGATTCGATCCCCATGTCAAGACACTATACCTCAGTTTTGGCAGAGCTTGCTCGTCAGCGCGGGTTTGACGGCTATCTCCTGAATGTCGAATGTCCGCTTCGAGGGGGGGCGGAACAGGCGCGGGCGCTTGCCGGATGGATTTTACTTTTGAGATCCGAGCTTGTAACCAAAGTTGGTCTTCATGCCCAGGTTATTTGGTGAGGCCAAGGCGGATCAAAAGTTTATAACAAATGTTCCTGACCTAATTCAAATTACAGGTACGACAGTGTGATATTCAATGGCCAACTGAGGTGGCAAGATCGATTGAACAGTCTGAATCTGCCATTTTTCCTCTCGTCTGATGCATTGTTCACAAACTACTTTGTAAGTGCCTGTTCAGATTCGCCGCCTTTATCTCAAGCGTATTGCATAAGTGGCCGCCATCTTTTCCAGCTCTCACTGCCCAGTATTTCATGAGCTTGGATCCAGCGGTCATCAATGATCATGCAAATAGGCCTTCTATCTCCTCCGTCAAGTCTCTTCAAAGTATCTTTACAGGCGTTGATGTCTGGGGCCGAGGATCGCACGGCGGAGGAGGATTCGGTTCCTACAAGGCCATGACACATATCGACCCCCAATCACTCGGCCTGAGTGTCGCCCTTTTCGGGCAAGCATGGACATGGGAGAGCGAACAAGATAAGCCAGGATGGAACTGGGATCAATGGTGGGAATATGAGCGCAAGTTATGGATCGGTCCCGCAGACCCTCAGGAAGTGGTCCCCGTGCCTGATGCTCCCAGACGTCCTAGAGAGCCTGAGTGTCCTCACGATCCGTTCGAGCCAGTATCGTCATTTTTCGTACATGCCACCCCTCCTGACCCCACCCAGCTGGTCTTCTACACATCGTTCTCTCCAGGAGTCGGGCGTTCGTGGTTTGTCGAAGGCGTGAATGTTCTTCAGACAGAGGACGGTTGGACTGATGTCGACAAGCAAAGTTCCATTGGGAATTTAGTGTGGCCGCGACCATCTGTGATGTGGGAAGACGATGATTGTCCAGAACCACTCCCTTTAGCGTCATCTACGTTGGACATGAGCGACGCATGGAATGGAGGGAATACCCTCAAAGTTTCCATTTCTTGTGCTGGCAGTACAGCCGATGATGCATTGTTCCGGTGCATCTGGCTCCCTGTGCAGTCGTTGAATGTGACTTCCCTCGTGTCATATGACGTCAACATTGTTTACAAAACTGTCGCTTGTGAGGGGACCGACCTTGACCTTGGACTTTTCGTAAAGCCGTTGATGGCGGGTGGTGGAGATCTCCCAGAGATCAATGTTGGGGCATCTACTCAATCTTATCTCAAGAACGGTTGGACCAGACAAGTCCTTAGCTTCTCGCTGCCCCTCGGCATAGTCAACGCGTCGATTGCCGTTGGCCTGATCATCGGTTTCGTTGCCGAAGATCCATCTCGGTCACTTGATTTTTCAGTCTCGTTAGGTCAACTTGCCGTATATCCATCTTCTCTCAACGCCCGTGTCTCGAAGGGAACCCCCGGGATTCTGTGGGCTAAATTCCAAAGTATCAAGCCCCTCGCTTCCCCTTCAACTGATTTCAGCGGGCTTCTCGCCTGGGACATCATATCCTTTTTTCCACGTCTCACATTACAAGCGATATCGATATCCTCTCCAGAAGACCCGAATCCTGCATGGGTTCTAGACGATACCAAAGAACGATTCCCCTCATTTCTCTACTTCAATATCTACGTCAACCCGCACCCCCTCTCGGGAAGTGTTGCGGGGCCCACGACCGCGATATTCATTGGAACAACAGGCCTAGATGGGCGTGCTAATAGATTTTATGTGGATTCGACGATTCTGCCGAAGAATGTGATGGACGGGAGAGGGTTACGCTTTTATGTACAAGGAGTTTCTGACAAAGGTGATGTCCTGCCATGGGAGATGTGTGCGCACGTGGATTGCATGTCCAAACTCGGAGGCCGCTGATGACGTTAAGCACGTAAGTACAGCTGTGAGAGGAACTTGCAGGCATGCTTGATTGCGTATTTGTACGTTGCTTGTTATAAGAACGACGCTTGAATCCACGTAACTTTTTAGCATGCTGCACACCACACTACCTCATGTTCGTAGCTAGTAGAACTTGTATTTGTATTTATACGAGCATATGCATGAGGGTCCGATGCAGTCCCAAAAATGTCCAGATCAAAACGCGTTTACATACGCGAAGACCCCTCTGGTCCAAATCAAATAATGTCAGTCACTTGCTGTGGTATATAAAACACCCAGTCACGTCCTGCCAGTGCTTCCCTCCTTTACCCGCTCGTTCTTCTGCTCTCTCTTTCGTCTTGCATGACCCATACCAGATGCTGGAACGAAATAAGTGGCGTGTATACACGCGTCGCATTGGTATCCTAGTACCGACAGCCTGGTGTCCATTCCACGACCAGTATTCTTGTTCATCCACCCCGCCCGTCACCGCATTGCATTATGCTCCGAGGTATATACGACCCCTATGTCTTCAATGACTGAAGCCTTGTTTTCTTGATTGCACGCAGGTCGACAGCAAGTATCTTCGTACGCCACAGGGGTGTCTTGCGGCGTGCGCCACATTCGTATCCTCACACCTGACGTCCTGTACTTCACCTTACTTAGGAAAACTCCAGCGTGCATCAAATTCCAAATTTTTGAGGACATTGTGAAGAAGCCACTGAAAGACGTACTGCTGCAACTGCTGATCATCACCTGCGACGCTGTTGGGCACATTCACCGAGGCGTCTATCGAGTATTCGACCATCTCTCTATACTGCTCACCTTTTCAGCATGCTGATTTCCCCGGTCTGGTCGCTGGCCCACAGTGGTGCAGGTGCTCCAGCCCTTGTAAACCCAACACTCTCGCTGCCCCGTAAGCTTGTGCGCGAAATGAGAGGATATGTTACACTTTCGTCTTTTGGCCCGCCACTGACATCGTACCATCTTCAGGGCATCGGCAGTCGTTACTGTCCACGTCGGAACTTTGTGGATGGCTCGGGATGTGGAACACTTGGGTCCCTTATTTAGGAAACCAAGGATGCCCGCGAGTAGCTCAGTCTCTAAGTCGGGTGGAGCTTGTAGGTGTCTGACGTTCCACCATGTTCGCCCCTCAGTCCGCCGGGCCCAGGGTTGCATGATCAAGAATCCAGTCCCGCAAAGAACCCCAATTGAAAGTCGCGGTGAGCGCATCCATCTCGTCATGCGTGTGAACTGCCGACAACGCCAACTCCGAAACTGAAGCCAAACACGTATGATGGCTTGACCAGTGATCAAAGAAACGTAGGGGGAGAGTCACGAACTAGCAACTTGAAGGAGTTTCTCTCAGGCTTCTCAAGGGCAACGCCAGCGGTCACAGTGAGCAAATCAACTGCTCGCCGTAGCTGTCACGTTGCAGCCCACGGGAGATGCAGTTGCAGGCTAACTTGAGACTCAAGGGACTAACGGGAATGATGGTGTCGAGCCGGGGTCGTAGCGAGGTCGAATGATATGGTGGGCGGATAAGATGCGCGTTGTTCAACCGCACTGAGTAAACATCGTACTCAAGGGCAAGTTATGGACATACACGCACAACACATGCGCAAACTTTGTCGAAAGTTCGTTGACGACACACATACGAACTTTGCGAAGTTCTTTACATTTCGCATAAAAACACAACTATAATGATTCATCGCAAATCTATTAGATCTCTGTACCTACTGTCGATTTTCACTGGGTGCATAATACTTCGATCCACAATCTCGTAACTCAAGCATCTTTCAGCATCTTCCTTATATCATCCATTCCCTCGTCTGTTTCCCAGAAGGTGGCCCACTCGCCCGTCATTTCCAACGCCCCATTTTCACCTGGCGCGCACTGCCCGAGGCTACTCAGATATTTATCTTTCATCTCCCGCTCCACGCGTTCTGCCTCCTTCTTCTCCCTGCTTCCTGTCCATATGGCACGGTTCAAGATATGTCGGACGACGGCACGCATTACGAGATAGCCATGGGATGCTAACATCGCGATCAACAGAGCGGACATCAGAAGTTCCCGGGTTGCAGCGAGACCTTGTCGGTGATGCTGTGACTCATTAGTCGCATCCGCATCCACCACGGTCCCTAGCTCATGCTCCTGTTGAGCAGGGGGACGGAAGAGATATACCAGCGCAGAGTTCGTGAGAGCCGACAACCATGTTAAAAATGATAGAGACTCGAGCCACGGCCCTATCGAATCCGTTCGAACAGGCGTCGGTCGTCGGGTGTGCACCGCGATTTTAAACGCATCAGAGCGCGCTTCAATGTAGTTGTTGAAAAGTGCCATCGCCGGTGCAAGTGGCCATATGGTCGACCAAAGAGCGACGTAGCCAAACTGTGTCACCATCTCGCTGTAGTCCGTGAACACATCATACTCTGGCAGCACCACTTCGCTCCGAACGCGCTCGAGGAATTCGCGCTCCTCTCTACCGTGTGCATCATGCCCCACAGGTTCATCATCAAACGCTACCCGCTTTTTCTTCCCGTGTGCCTTCCCATTACCATTCCGGAAACCTTTCCCATTGCGGAACGAATCCACGGCACGGAGGATATATGGCAAGCCAATGGCCGTGAAGGTATCCACCACTTGGTTTGTGACCGAAAAGGCGAACATCTGCTCCTCGAGCCTCGATGAATTCAACTTGCGTCGCGCATTTTTCCTATCCCACTCCCATAAACTGAGTCCGACCGCACTGATTTTTTTTCCACCAACACCTCTAGCACCGAGATGAGAGGTGGCGTTGAAATGGATATTGAATTTGTCCAGTAAGGCCAACGCACGACGACCATCTGTGAACAAGTGGGACTGGACAAAGTTCATGACGGTTTCACCGAAAGGGACATAAATGAATGCGGACAGCGCAAGGCCGAGATAAGCATTCACCGCCGAGAGTGTGAAGACCTTCAATGAAAGAGACCAACTATGGTTCGATTGATGCTCGTGATTTTCCCAATCCGTGAAGTTCGTGGCAAGTCTCTGGTACATTGCGAGTAACCGAGGAACAAGGAGTGAGAAAAGTATCGTTGGAGCGAAAGCCTTAAATGAACGCTGCTCAGAAAGGCTGTAAGCGGCAGGCATAAGTAAGCTTACCACATATGTGTGACCGGGACCCTTGTAAAGCTCCGTCACAAAAGCTTCCAGGACAAATATGCCTGTCGATATAACCGCAAGGACAATTGCAAAGAGCAGTATGACTGGTAGGCCAGCCATCATGCGCATCTCCTGCTTCCACCAGGGGAAGCTCGGGAGATAATCAGCCCTCCGCTTTTCAACGCGCCACGAACCACGAGTGCACCATCTGATTGACAGGATACGCTCTTGCAGTCTCCACCATTCGACGAACGCAATTGACCACAACAGGAGTAAAGTGGAGTATGAAGCAGAGTAAGGTCTCCCGAAGAGATAATAGATAACGCCAAGTGCCGCGGGAAATATCAAAGCCCGTGTGTATGCTGTGAGGAAGAAAAAATAGAGCGCAACGGAATCTCCAAACTAGGACACGACATCATCATTTGAATGACGTATACAGAACGAAAATAATTGAGACAAACCTGGTCTCGAATCTTTTCGAGTTCCACGCTCGCTATTCGGCGTCGTGTCCATAGGTGTATCCAGTGGTCGTTGAAGTCATGATCGTGAAGTGCCATTACGGACTCCACGAGACCCCACTCTATTCGCCCTGGAATAATACCCAAGCCTCCATCTTCGGGAGTGGATGATATGAATCCGTGGATCAAACGGATACGGTCGGCGGGAGATAGTGGGCCTGATTCAAAGTCGTTCGCGGACGGCAACTTGGACATTGGAAGACCGTACAAAAAGTCCGAATGTCTGAGATGCATAAGAATATGAATATGGAGAGTGAATTCATTGCAAGACTCACCGTTCACAATGAATGAGGTTTGCAAGCACCTTCTGCGGGCAAGTCACCATTACAAGTAACTGGCCCTGACTCACTCCGCGCCTCCCAGCAGCTTTGAGGCCAGCTCGGGTGAGCGTACTAATGAGCTTAGAATACTGCCTTTCTGCCTTGACAGCATTCTGGCGCACTTGCTCTTTAGAAAAGCTGGCTCCCTTCTGGATGGCACGGAAAACTATGACTGCGTCCACATGAGGATGCATTTTGAGGGCACACGGTGGGCCTATGATTTGAGTTGTATTGCGGCCTCTGCAAGTGTTAATGTTTTGAAATTGGAGAATCCCGTAGAACTGATAGCTAGAAAGATTGGAGAGATGAGTCTACACGTTTGAGCTCCGAGAATATCAACAGATCTAGTGAAAGTATTTGTTTAGGGTTGGTTTAGGGCATCAGCAAATGCAATGTCCTCGAGTTGTTGTTATCTGTTTGAATTTGATGGAGACCTCCCACGGAACCTAGCAATATTGATGTGACAGGCACATTCCATACGGCCTCTGAACATACTACAGGAACTGTACTTAAAAATGAACAAGACTACTGCGTATAAATGCATATGAAAGGTCCATCATCTTCATGCGTACACGGACCAGCTTTTGAATTGATAAGTTAATGGCAATGCGAATCAAGCGATGCCACAAGAAACTAGCGCGCGTACGGATGATAGCTGTGCTGCCCTCGTTGTCCCGCACGTTGTGGACCAACGCCAAGACCACCAGGGCCACCCGGACCACTTTGCGCTCCTCGTGGACCACGCGGGACATTCGGACCTAGGCTGGCAGGCCCTGTGGGTGTGCCACCGCCACCCATGGCCTGTCCCCCTCGCCCCATACCACTACCCATTCCTGGTCCTCCACCCATACCACCTGCCATCGCGGGGGTTCCCATACCACCTCTACCCATGCCCATGCCTGCGCCACCATAACCACCCATGCCACCCATCATGCCTGGGTTTATGCCCGGGGCCATGCCCGGATTCATACCCATACCCATACCTCCCATCATGCCGCCTCCGCCCGCCATTTGGAACATGCGAGTATACAAAGCGGCAAGAGCCTGGGGATCGAATGGAGTGTTGCCCGAGGGAGCCGCGGGCATAGAGTTAGCTGCCGCATTGAAATTCCCGCCCTTGTTGGTGTACTGCTGCTGCTGCTGCTGACCGCCGTCCTCATTAAAGTTGTCACGCTGATAACGCGGTTGCGCCAGCTTCACATCAATCTTAAATAAAGTGCGTAAATGAACGTGTATATTTATAGATGTAACACGTTCGTCACATACCAATTTCCCATCGATCTCTAGGTTCCCAAACCCGAGGAAGGGCTGAACATTTGTGTCTTCAAATGAAACAAATCCAAAGCCTTTGCTTCTCCCTGTCTCACGGTCTAACATGACGGTCGAATCGATGACCTTGCCAAATTGCGAGAAGAAGTCTCGCATCGACTCGGACGTCACACTCCCTGCAAGACCGCCAATGAACAGTTTTGTGGCGCGTTGGTGCTCTTGTCTAGGTATTGCTCTCTTTGGATCAATCTTGGGTAACGGGTAAATAGAATCCAATGCTAGATACAATATTTTACGTACAATTTTGCCATCTAGGAAGTGCTCCCGCACCATCACCGCATTAACGCTTGCGGGGTCCTCAAAGGTCAAAAAGGCGAAGCATCTCGACCGGCCAGCAGCATCGCGCATGATCGTGCATGCATCTACTTTACCGAACTGGGAAAAGTAATTCCTGAGGGACTCTGCCGCGAACGACCTTATTTTAGTACTACCGAACGGTACAGAGCAAGTAATAATGATGTAAGTACCATCGGTTGTGTCCCAGTTGAGACCGCCAATGAACATCTTGCTATAGATAGTGTCGCACGCGCGAGGCAACATGGTCGAATACGTTCGGACGTCGGTAATTGAGTGTACGATATGAAAAGCAAAGCTCGTTATTAGTTTCTGTAGAGACAGGGGGTGTTATGACAGAGGAGAAAAAGAAAAACGCTACTGTCTGCTCGCGTTTATGGCTAGCCTAGCTTAGACTGGACGTAGAGAACGCGAATATGCTAGAGCTAGACTAGTCGTCCTAGTCGACATAGCTGAGTAGCTAGGCGTGACGATGACCGAACAACTACGTCGGCATTATTGACCGTCAACGACTAAGATCCAATATATCCCAGCGAAGATGCATGCCCCAAATTCCCATAGGAAGTTAGTAGAACTGTCCTATGCAACTCACCCTTCATCCTTCATCTCTGAGGGCCGCACACTTCTCTCATGGCTATGTTGGCGGTCATAACTACCCACACCTTCATGCTGGCCCAAGTCTGGTGCATAGTCGGACTGAGGTTGCTGGTATGTCGGTATTTGCTGTGTAGCGAGAGCAGCGTAGGCAGGAGCTCCGGATTGAGTGGTAGTCGACGCGTATTCTTCGTAAGTCTGTACTGGATAGGTCTCGGTTGCAGGTGCTTTAATGGCAGCAGCCGGTACGACCGGTGAAGGTTGTTTTGATGGTGTCGGCGGAGGAACCTTCACAGCGGAAGCAGCAGGTGCTTGAGGGGGCGCTTCCGATGGAAGAGACTCTTCTGGTTTAGATTGGTCGCCGTTTTCTGCTGAAGTTGGAAATTCAGACTCGTCGTTGCCGTAGAGATCTAGGAAGGTGTCAAGTCAAAAACTACATAAATCGCAAGCGTTTGAGAATATATACCGCCATAGAGGTCAGCGTCAAGCTCGGACATGATGGTGGTTGCGGTGAGAGTGAAAAACAGTTCGGGTCTTAGTCATCGTGTCATCACTTATGCCTGAAAAAGTCTCACGCTGCGCGGGCCGTGACTCGGCCAACCGCCAAATTTTCTCCTCCTCAAAGACCACATGTTCTAACTGACTCGATCCGTATTATTCCGCCTGGAATTCGCATGTGTTTTCGTGAGTTCTGTGACGTGTACAACAAATCGATTCAGAGTTTCTCTTTCTCATCATGGCCTACGTCCAGGTCAGCAACAACGTTACCATCGGCATACTAGGTAAGTACGGTATGTGTGCTGGCATAGTATATGCATTGTTTCATCTGGAAAATATAGCTCTTCAAGGAGCCTTTGCAGAGCATCAGACTGCCCTGCAAAAGCTCTCATGCCAGAAGAAAATTGCGGTTGTTCTTGTTCGGACTGCAGAAGATCTTTCAGTGTGTGATGCTCTGATAATCCCCGGAGGGGGTGAGACAAGTGTCATTTTACCTAAACTCACTCATATCATCCGATAGAGTCCACCACTATTGCACTACTCGCTAAGCTCGCTGGGCTTTTAGAACCTCTACGGACGTTTCTGCAGAAGAAGCCCGTGTGGGGAACTTGTGCCGGAGCGATTCTTCTTGCACAGGCAGTTGAGAATACCAAAAAAGGTGGCCAGGAACTTCTCGGTGGAATATCAGTCACCGTCGCTCGGAATGGTTGGGGTTCACAGGTACGAATATCATGTTTTGCAGTTCTTCCTCTGTTGACACCGTCTCGCGAAGGTCGAGTCTTTCGAGGCACCTCTTTCAACAGAGGGTCTGCGGGATCCAACCACTCCGTTCATGGGTGTATTCATTCGTGCTCCTGTGCGTGTTTTGCGCTCATCCGCAACGTTGTACTAATTAGACCTTCCTTGAAAAGGTTGTGTTAGCAATACATCCATCCACCGAGAACCCACCAATAGAAATCATCGCTCGCTTACCGATTAACCTTGTGCCAAAGTCACAGAAGCTGGCGGTACACGACGAAGGCGACACCGGTCCACACGATTCACAAAGCATCGTTGCATTACGGCAGGGACGACATATGCTCACCACATTTCACCCGGAGCTCACAAAAGACAGTCGTTTTCATGAGTATTTTGTGCGGACTTGTGTTTTGCCTACCCTCCTGTGAAGTGGTATAATATGACATTGCCGCTCCCCACTGTCATGGTTGACGTGTGAGTGTGATAGATTGGCCTCATATAAGGTCTTAATTGGCGGTATCGCTACCTCGGGAGTGCGCACACTTGTCCCTCAGGACAGACAACGCAAAGGGCCCGAAGAAATCTAGACTGATTATTGAAAAAAAAAAACGTGTAGATTTCAAATCTTTTGATACCTGTCAGACGTTCTGCTACAAGACTTGAAGAAGCTATCAAGACGAGCACTAATTTAGTAACATGGGATTTACCAGATCTATATATATCATAGCTAGAGCCTGCCAGTGAGTACTATATGCGCATCTACGATTTATGCGTTGCAATTATCAAGTTGTACTAGTGTCAACCAGCAGCTCGACGCATTTAGACATCCTCGGGTCAGCTGGCTAGCTAAGCCCACCCCATCGCTTGTTAGGCCACATCTTCCGCGGGAGCCTCCCATGCATGTATGAGCATGTCACGAAAAACGCACACGGATCAATTAAAACCACTATAAAAAGCCTCATTATGCATTATAGGCTGGGCGACGTCGCTGCTGTCACACCTGGCTACTAGGCTTACTCGACAATGTTGCATCTTCTCGTCGTTCTGCTAGCAGTGACTGCCGCTAGCGCTCGTTTCATGACCAAGCATATGTTGAAGGAGCGCCAGCTTGAGGCAGCCCAGCATTGGCAAACCAGCTGGGCCGTAGAGATGGGAGGGGCTGGGGACGTCGAGCGCAAGCGTGTTCAAAACATCACCTTCACGAACCCCAAGGCCTCAGGTGGATGAAGTGCTCCTGCAGTAAACGCCAGCGTCTGATATGTTTGTGCAGAATTTTATGTCGATGGTACATCCCTCCCTCTGGTCGACTTCGATGTTGGTCCCAGCTGGGCAGGTCTGTTGCCCATAAGCGACAGTCCTGATGAGACGCGTCAGGTATGCCAATAATGAGTCATACATGTTCTCTGCTGATTCAAACGACAGCTCTTTTTCTGGTTTTTCCCTCCCGGTCCCGAAGGGAGTCTCGATGATTTGATTTTTTGGTGTGTGATCGGAAGTGGTCGGTATTAATCTACCACTGAAGTGACTTGCTCTTCCTCCAGGACAAATGGAGGCCCTGGCTGCTCTTCACTCGAAGGTTTACTACAGGAGAATGGAGTAAGCCCCTTTCGTTGGATGCTATGACTCATTTCACTGGGAAGTTTGAAGCCTTTCAGTTGGTCCTTGGGTCAAGCCAAACCAACCGTGAATGAACACAGCTGGACCAACCTCTCTTCCATCCTTTGGGTTGAACAACCTGTTGGCACGGGGTTTTCCCAAGGCGTTCCAAACGCACAGAATGAAGACGATGTCGCTGCTCAACTCGTCGGTTTCATGCAGCAGTTCCTCGAGGTCTTTTCGGAACTAAAAGGCAAGCAGTTGTATCTGACGGGTGAAAGCGTGAGTTTTCTGGAAGACTGTCCAGAAATCATACTCATTGTAACCAGTACGCAGGAACATACGTCCCTTGTCAGTTTGTCTTTGTTTTTCTAAGAGCACGTATGAAAGATCAACGAAGATTTTGCGAACTACATCTACGAGAATCCCACTCTGTTAGACCTCTCGTTGCAAGGCATGTGGATCAGTGATCGTAAGCAACATTTTGAATCGCTCTGTATCCTCTCAAGGGCTTATCTACGGAGCATAGCTTCACTGTCATGGGATGTGGTGCAAGAGCAGATCCCTGCAGTGGATTTCGTGAATAAATATGCTGGTCTCTTCTCTTTTAAGTCAGTTTATTTCACTTGAGCCGGGTTTGCAGGTTGCTCACCAATCGGATCCAGTCAAACGTTCACGGATCACCTCGAGAAGAAGGCCGCCAAGTGTAATTACACTGGCTACGTAGACAAGTACGTGACATATCCTCCAGCTGGCCTTCTTCCTCTGCCAGGGGACTCGGTCGAGGCAGCTGAGGGCTGTGATGTCTGGGACGACATTTTTAATAATGCACTGATCATCAACCCCGCCTTCAATATCTATCGCATCTGGGACACTGTGAGTCGAGGAGTATCCTCCCAACTAGTCTGTTAACGTTCTCCATTCCAGTATCCTGTTCTATGGGATGTGCTTGGCGCCCCGTGAGTAGTTAAACAATGCACTCGGCATTTCTGTTTACGCAGGCCCAGAGGTTCGATCATACAGTCACAAACTCCGCTCTACTTTGACCGCAATGATGTGAAGCATGCCATCCATGCACCTGATGACACAGAGTGGACGGAGTGTTCCAATGTCAATGTCTTCCCAAATGGAGACGGTAGCTTACCCCCTGCCTTCACTGTGTTACCGAATGTTATCGAGAAGAATAAGCGGACCGTCATCGTACACGGTCTCGCCGACTTTGTTCTCATTTCTGAAGGGTATGCCTGCGTCCACGAGCTCTTCTCCTATATCCTGATCCATGATCCGATGACTTAGAACCAGAATCGTCATTCAAAAGTACGTGCGTTCTTGACTATTGCGTGAATCCCTTCAATCAATAGGAATTATTTGTAGTATGACTTGTAAGTGAGCAGAAGCGCTGAGGTGCAAAAACAACTCATTTTATTCAAAGGGGACGGATTGCAAGGATTCCAGACGCCTATCATCAATGACAGTTTCATTGTCGATGGCGTGGGTGCTTTCGGGACAATGCACTCAGAACGGGGACTCACTTACTACGAGGTAGTCCTGAGTGGACACATGTGAGCTCTCCGCTATACTAAGCCTCCCGGTTCTCAAATGTATTCTGCAGGGTTCCACAGTTTGCGCCAGTAGTAAGTCGACAGTTTTTGACTCAAATGCGCTCTAACGCAAAGACCGACATCTTAGGCTGCCTTCCAGATTATGCAGTACCTGATGGGCTTTAGGGATACACCATAGATAGGGACACTCGTCTTTGGTTTGATTTAGATTCCTGCCATCCGTAACAAACGTCAGCTCGTAGAGTCTAGTTACAATAGTTCTCAGGAAGCTTGTTGTCTCCGGGTCTGGAAGAGTCGAACTTAGGTTCACGGTGTCCAGGTCTGCCGGGTCAACTCCGACTTGATCTTTGATTCTCCCATGATGAAAAATTAGCGGTATGGTTCGCGAATATCGCCGAACAACCCATGCTAGCCAATCCCAGCCAATCCCGAGTGCCCGTAACCAGGGGATAATACCTATCCCGTTACGACTGGCATGCAGACAAGCCCTTCAAATGTCCACAGCCTAATCGTCGGCGACTCCAAGTTAACGTGCGCTGTGACGAGGGACAAAATGAGCTGGTGTTGGGAAAATTATACGTGTCAGCAGGTGTCAGCTTCGTCTACTACAAGAAGTGATCAAGACAAGCACAAATGCGGTTTATAACAAGTGCACTAGTATCAGGAAACCCGCTGCCGAGCGAAGTGACTTGTAGCAGCGCGTAGCACGGCGCTTCTTTGAAATGGATGTAGCAGCTGGAAGTCTCGGAACTAAAACCTCGCTGGCATGTCAAAGAGAGTCTGCAATAAGTGTGCAGAGGCTGTTCTGGTATAAAACCAAAACCTAGTATTGTGGATTGATACAGAACGCAACAAAAAGTGAACGCGAACAACGCAAAGATACTTGACTAAACAGGCATCAACTAAGTATACCATGACGCTGGCAGATGCTTAGAGACAACATCTTCAATAACAAGTGATGAACTAAATATGGAGTACAGCGGTGTTGGGCTTCGGAGAGGGGAAGGGTGGCCGAAGCTTCCGTTGTCAAGTGCCGGGAATTGGGTCCGATGACTGACAACCGTTCATCAGGTTCAAGGTTCAAACTGAGGATGAGAGAGAATTAAAAGAGGTTACACAAAATGAAAAGAAAAGTAAAACCTGTATTGAGGCAATAGCCTTTGCAAGTCTCTGCCCCTCGGATAAAATATCAAGACAAGACTGCAGTTCCCTCAAACACCACTGTCGTTTGAGCCAGGAAAGGAGGTGACGATTCCAGAAAACCTGGAATATATGGTTGAGAGTGTCGACCCATGGACATGGAGCACGCGACAGGTGAATAACCCAGTTTTGAGATGCATACTTGAGACTGTCGGAAGATGATTGTCTTCGTTCCTGTGCCTCGTTTGCAAAGCTATAAAGAGATTCATAGCACGGATGATCTCCCTGTCAGGAACTTCTGGCAATGCAGAGGTGAAATGATCTTGGGATATCAACGCCAGGAACATCGGAAACATCAAGAAATCCGGTAAGCTTTTGAGCTGCTGGACTACTTTGAAGGGTGGTAGTAAAGCCACTTCTGGGGCAATGATATAGTTGCTGATTGCTTACAACGTACTCGTGAATTCTTCCGTAGTCACCCATACGGATCCTGCAGGAGTGGATTGCCACGCTTGACTATGGGGCGTCTGGAGCCAGTTACGCCCGCCCGGGGTCAGAAGCCAGTTACGCCCGCCCAGGGTCTGAAGCCAGTCTCGCCCGCCCGCCCGGGTCCGGAGCCAGTCTAGCCCTCCCTGGGTCTGAAGCCAGTCGTACGCTTCCTGGGTTTGGAGCCACTCTCGTCCTCCCTCAGTCTGGAGCCACTCTCGTCCTCCCTCGGTCTCTAGCCACTCTCGTCCTCCCTCGGTCTTTAGCCACTCTCGTCCTCCCTTGGTCTTTAGCCACTCTCGTCCTCTCCGGGTCTGCAGCCACTCTCGTCCTCTCCGGGTCTTTAGCCAGTCTCGTCCTCCCTCGATCTGGAGCCAGTCTCGTCCTCCCTCGGTCTGGAGCCACTCTCGTCCTCCCTCGGTCTGGAGCCACTCTCGTCCTCCCTCGGTCTTTAGCCATTCTCGTCCTCTCTGGGTCTGCAGCCAGTCTCGTCATCCCTCGGTCTGCAGCCACTCTTGTCCTCCCTCGGTCTCTAGCCACTGTCGTGCTCTCCAGGTCTGCAGCCACTTTCGTCCTCCCTGGGCCTGCAGCCAGTCTCGGCCTCTCCAGGTTTGCAGCCAACCTCGTCCTCCCTCGGTCTGCAGCCAGTCTCGTCCACTCCGGGCCTGGAGCCAGTCTCGGCCTCCCTCGGTCTGCAGCCGGTCTCGTCCTTCTTCGATCTGCAACCACTCTCGTCCTCCCTCGGTCTGCAGCCACTCTTGTTCTCCCTCGGTCTCTAGCCACTCTCGTCCACCCTCTGTCTGCAGCCACTCTTGTGCTCTCCAGGTCTGCAGCCACTCCCGTCCACCCTCTGTCTGCAGCCACTCTTGTGCTCTCCAGGTCTGTAGCCACTCCTGTCCTCCCTCAGTCTGCAGCCACTTCCATCCTCCCTCGGTCTGCAGCCACTCTTGTCCTCCCTCGGTCTGAAGCCACTCTCGTCCTCTCAAGGTCTGCAGCCACTCTCGTCCGCCCTCGGTCTGCAGCCAGGCACACACGTCCATGGTTCCCAGCCAATATTGTAAATCTGAAGTACGATCTCCCCGAAGCCATAGCATACAGATGAGAACTGACAATGGTTCTGGTGGCCGAACAAGGAAGGATAGCGAAAATTTTAATCGATGGGGGTCCTCAGGTTGCATAGCTTGGCTTTGTTTCTCCAGTTCTGAGAGCGCATCCAAAAGGGTCGTGGTTTCTGAAATATTTTTCATCATGAAGCGAAAAGAGGAATCAGCGAGTAGGGTGTGGGGTGATGGCATATTGTGTTCGCGTACTTGAGGGAGGCTGCAGTTTGAGGGGTCGGAAACATAGTCGCGAATGGACGAGTGATAGATATTCACGGGGAGAGTACTATTTGTAGGGATATCCATGACGGACCGTAGCTGTATCAGCGTTGTCTGCACATCTCTGCCCAAACTAGGGCCAAGAAGTGACGAGATTTGCGAGATGGGAAGAGGGTCTACGAGCGCGGCGACGATGGATAAGTGCATGTAAGCCCGTTTGGGGTCAGCACACGTGGAGAGGATACAATCGTATAATTTGTACACATCCGTTCCTGGCAGCAGATCGCTCGTTAGCTTGAGCATCAGCTGCAGCCGACCATGTGGATCGTCTTCATTATCGATAATGAACTTCATCATTGTAGACGCCACGATGAAACGTCTGCCCGCTCGGCTCGCCAGCTTCGCAAGATCATCCTTCGATGGCCGAGGGAAATCAATATGGCGACTTGCCAGCTCTGCGAAGGAGTGCTGCAAGAAAATATAGATGTCGTTGACTCGTTGTCAACATCGGCGCCATCAAGCGAGATGATGGTAGCAACTCCCTCCCCAGAAGTTCTCACGGGTATTTCGCACAACAACGGCCGCGCCTCCTTGTTCTGAAAGGCTTTGCAGATATGCGATTCCGAGCGACTCGTGAGTGGAATGTGTGTCACGGGTAGATCAGGCTCACGAAGAGCCCGTGCGAGGCAAAGGATAAGATCAGTAAGCTCGGGTTCGGATGTGCATTCATCAAGGGCATCGACAACAAACGTCAGAGGTGGACACCCGCGTAATCTGAGTTGAAGATTTCGGAGAGGTTGGAGGAAGAGAGCCTCCATCTGGTCGCAGAGAGACTTGTCTGGGTCTAGTAGAGCGGGATTGTCACGGATAGCTCTGTTCACATCCTTCCGGATGCTGGGAAAATTGGTGGCAAGCTGATAGGCAAGAGTCACGAAAAAATACCCAGTCGTGCAACGTTTCGTGTGCTTGCGCGAGAAAAAGAAAGTTCCTCCGAGCCGCTTTTCGACATTAGTCTGCTCCGCCACTTTTAGACCTCTCATCCTCTCAGCTACGCTGAACGCAACGGCAGACTTTCCGACGCCTGCCGTGCCGTGCAGCCAAATAAGTCGATTCTTCTCTGGGTCGTCTAGTACTTCGTATATGAAGGATAGGAGATCCACCCGGGTCCCTTCCAAACATTTTGGGTGGGGCTGACGTTCTCGGGAGTTGTATTCGGCACCGTTTACAGCAACCTGGGACAGCCTCGCCCAAGTTCCTTCAAACGATGGAAGAACTGTCAAAAAGGTCAGAAAGCGAGAGAAGGACAAGAGTGAGAAAAACCGACATTGTTCCTCACTCATTCACGAAGGTTGTGATATGCGTGATGAAATGGACAAATTGAAAGTACTAGCTGGGCGTGATTAGAAATCATCTGGGCGATATTTATCTCCAGGGACGACGTACGAAGATTTGACGGATCTGTTGGAGTCAAAGTAAGTCGTCAACTTAGGGTCCCAAAGCGCGATGGAAATGAGATGGGATAAATGGATGTTTCAATCTATGGAAAGCTTGCTGGATGGTAGGATACAGTTCAAGGACGAGTGGCCCAGCGCTTGTCCGGTTGCAGAAGGTCACGATGTTGCTGTACATGCTGGTACTACCAAGTCTTCTGAAAGATGTGTTCAAAAGTAGAAATACTAGTAGGAGCTAGTAGGAGAGATATTCTTCTACAAGTAAAAACCTGTAAACTTTGCAGTATAAGGGGTATAGCTAGCTAGTGTCTGCGCATCTCGACTCCGACTAGCTATGTCAAATTCTTACCAGTTCAAAACACTGCATTTCAGCTTCAGCGCTAGCTAGTAAGTACTCGTAGTACTAGTACCTCGAATTTGGCTTCTATTATTATTATCATAGTAACGCTCGGCCATCATGGGCCGACTTGGGGCCGACGACCTCCAATAACCAGCTCGTCGCCGCCCTCTGCTTTCGTTTGTAATGCAAATCGTACTGTTGGACCCGCCTGATGCGCACGATTTTATCGCCTGAAGGTGAATACGCATGACCTGTCCGAACGCCCTTGATCATCTTTCCGTTGGTGTCCCACCGCTGAACGCTTCAGTCTTCCCTCCCGCGTGAAATTGTCTTCCCGTCTGGTGAACGCGCCATTGCATGTATCCTTCCGCCCTCACTTGACCATGATTCCATAACAAGATGTGTCGTAGTTCCACTTGCGTATCCTGCCCTTCAACGAACCACTCACAATGGGGATGTTGTCGTGCAAGAAGACGAAATCCTAGATGGCTGATGCCTTTCAAACTCGTGCTCTGGAGTTGGTCTTTCAGGTTGCGGGAGGGGTGGAGCTTCATTAGTGGTCGGAATCACAAGGGATTTAGAATCAGAAAACATGGCTTCTTCAATGATGGGTGCCGAAGGGTTTCGAAAGATAGTAGGTCGTCACGGTAAGTCTTCTGTATTTTTTCCTGGCTCTGGCACTGTTCATGATGAAACAGGATTGGAATAGTTGACCAGTACTCACCGGTTGTTCTGCTGGTCCCTCGCTGATAGCCATCTAATGATGAATAAGTCTTGCCAGCATCACAAGCATGAATTCCACGAGGCAGCGTGTTTTTATCAAGCTATGCCACTGGTATGATGTCTACTAGGTTCGTCCTTAACCATCTCAATTACACGGCTTTTGGAATTCACACCAGGCGTGCTTTCCTGGGCTGTAAGTATTCACTATCGTGCAATGTACTTATAAGCATGAATGTCCGTCTCAAAGATATAAATTGCTCTCCAGGGTGTAACCAAGGGTGTACTCGAATCAATGATTGCCTATTCAATAGTTTGATCTTACAAGCTGTGGGCTTTCGAAGAGCTCAAGCATGTTTAGCGCTGTTAGGCATATGACAGCATGTGAGTAACAGTCGAACAATTTCAACTGAACACGAATTCGTCATTCAGACTGAACGGCTTGTTGATCTGTTGAGCCCGGGTTCTGCACTGGAAACGAAGTTGTGCCATCTGTCAGGCACTAATTAATTTGGTAGAACTCGGCAGTTGTGCTGCAACGCACATGGGTATTAATCACGATTCGACCACAGCTCAAGTCGATTATGCCCATGTAGGGAGACGTAGGGCTGCGCGAAGAACGCATGATGATATGCGTTCCCTGTCATGGCAACCCGCCTCGTATACATTTGGTCCATCCGAGTGCGTCATGACAGAAATACTCATTCTAAATACGACGTCATACGACTCACGATTTTTCCTTCATAAATTCAACTTGTTCGCTTGCTTGCCGGTGATGCGTCTTCTCGCTGTACTTGGGGCTCTGCTCGCAGGGGTCGCCGCCAGCGGTCGTAGGATGACCAAGCACGAGATGCGCGAACACCAACTCGAGGCAGCAAAACGTTGGCAGACTAGTGGCCCTCAGAACGTAAAGAGCAGTGGTGTTCAGAATATCACATTCACGAACCCCAAGGCCTCAGGTAACTGAAATGCTAAAAGTAAATATCCAATATGTCTGATCCGTGTTCTTCCAGAATTTTACGTCGATGGCAGATCCCTTCCACTTGTTGACTTCGATGTTGGTCCTAGCTGGGCAGGTCTTCTACCCATCAGCAACAGTCCTAATGAGACGCGTCAGGTGTATACATGAATAATCTATGCATGTCCTTTGAGTGCTGACATCGAGGACATTAGCTCTTTTTTTGGTTTTTCCCTCCTGGTCCCCAAGGGAGTCTTGATGATTTAATTTTTTGGTGCGTCGTCAGAAGCGGTGTGCTCTTCGCCGCAGACCTGATGTGTTCTACCTGATGAAGGACGAATGGTGGCCCTGGCTGCTCCTCCCTGGAAGGTTTGCTGCAAGAGAACGGTGTAAGCCTCTTTGTTGACGACAAGACTCATTTATAACTGAGATGTTTGAAGCCTTTTAGTTGGGCCTTCGGTCAGGCCAAACCAACGGTGAATCAACGGAGCTGGACCAACCTCTCCTCCGTCCTTTGGGTGGAGCAACCTGTTGGAACGGGATTTTCCCAAGGCATACCAAACGCACAGAATGAGGACGATGTCGCTGTTCAACTCGTCGGTTTCATGCAGCAGTTCCTTGATGTCTTTTCGGAACTCAAAGGTAAAAAGCTATATTTAACGGGTGAAAGTGTAAGTTTCTCACAGAGAGGTTCAAGCATTGTGCTAATTGTATCCAGTACGCTGGAAGATACGTGCCTTGTGAGTCAGCAGTCATCTTCTCTGAACATAACTCTAAGACCAACGAAGATATCGCAAACTATATCTACGAGAACCCGACTCGGTTAGACCTCTCGTTGCAAGGGATATGGATCAGCGATGGTAAATAACATTTTGACTTGCTTTGTCAAGTGCTTACATATGAAGCTCAGCCTCGATCTCGTGGTGGGTGGTGCAACAGCAGATCCCTGCAGTGGACTTCATGAAAAAGCACGCTAGTCTCTTCTCTTTTAAGTCTGTTCATTTCACTCGGACCTAGTTTGCAGGTTACTCACCAATAGGATCCAGTCAGACGTTCATGAACTACCTCGAGAAGAAGGCCGCGACGTGCAATTATACTGGCTACATAGATAAGTACGTCACGTACCCTCCAACAGGTCTTCTTCCCCTTCCAGGAGACTCCATCGAGTTTGCCGAGGGCTGCGATGTCTGGCACGACATTTTTTATGGTGCACTGATTATCAACCCTGCTTTCGATGCCTATCGCATTTGGGACACTGTGAGTCGAAGAGGATTTTAATAAGTACTATATTGACTTATTCTTCGTGCAAGTATCCGATTTTGTGGGATGTCCTAGGTTACCCGTAGGCCATCCAATTATTGATTCAATGCAACTACGCTGACAACGACCTAGAGGTTCATTCCCACAGACGCAGTCTCCGATCTACTTTAACCGAATGGATGTAAAGGAAGCTATCCATGCGCCCGTTGACACCGAGTGGTCGGAATCCTCCAATGTCAATGTCTTCCCCAACGGAGACAGCAGCTTGCCTCCTGTCTTCACTGTGTTACCGAATGTTATCGAGAAGAATAAGCGGACCGTCATCGTGCACGGTCTCGCCGACTTTGTTCTCATTTCTGAAGGGTATGCCTGCGTCCACGAGTTCTTCTCCCATATCCTGATGCATGATTTGATGACTTAGAACCAGAATCGTCATTCAAAAGTACGTGCGTTCTTGACTATTGCATGAATCCCTTCAATCAATAGGAATTGTTTGTAGTATGACTTGTAAGTGAGCAGAAGCGCTGAGGTGCAAAAACCACTCATTTTATTCAAAGGGGACGGATTGCAAGGATTCCAGACACCTATCGTCAATGACAGTTTCATTGTCGATGGTGTGGGTGCCTTCGGGACAATGCATTCAGAACGGGGACTTACTTACTACGAAGTAGTCCTGAGTGGACACATGTGAGCTCGCCGCTATACACGGCGTCCCGGTTCTCAAATGTATTCTGCAGGGTTCCACAATTTTCGCCAGTAGTAAGTCGACAGTTTTTGATCCAATTGCGCTCTAACGCAGAGACCGACATCTTAGGCTGCTTTCCAGATTATGCAGTACCTGATGGGCTTTAGGGATACGCCATAGATAGGGACACTTGCCTTTGGTTTGATTTAGATTCCTGCCATCCGTGACAAATGTCAGCTCTTAGAGGCTAGTTACAACAATCGTCAGGAAGCTTGTTGTCTCTGAGTCCGGAAGATTTTTTCATCCTCCACAATCTTCACCGAGTTCTCAGAGTGTATGCTGTATGCTCCCTATTCGGCTCATAACCCAGAGTAAAACTCAGGGTCTCAATGTCCTTTGTTTCCACGGATTCTTACATGGTATGAGGCTGATAATGAGTTCGAAGGGATTGTGAACAGATCGACGTAGTTTGTGAAACGTAAATAGATAGATAGCGAAATGACAAACAAGATAAGACGTTGAGAGATAGTGACTTTTTGTTGGAGCGTTCGGTCCGATGTGCTTTGGCCGCCAAGTTTGAGCTGGGAATCAGCGTATCAGATCTGCTCCTAAGCCAGAATGAGTATGAGGAGCATATAGTGAAAGTGAAATGAACGGAGCACGAGGTATTAGTCATGAAAGAAAATGGAAACTTGAAAGGAATCACATCAGCGAGTCACGTGGACGACTTCGAGCGTCTTCGGTCGGTGCGTAAAGGATATTGTCAAACCATGATGGTTTGATAATGGTTATTTGGTATATGGCATCCACAATCTCCTGCGTCCGGTGGGACTGATGCCACTCCCCAGCTTAAGTCCGATTCCTTCCTGCATCCAACTGTCTTCCCGTCCGGTGAGTGCGCTAGTGCATGCATCCTTCTGCCCTCACTTGATCCGAATGTGGATGTTTGTGTGCAAGACGAAATCCTCAATGGTGATGCATTTCGAATTCGTGCTTTGAAGTGGGTCTTTCGGGTTGCGGTAGGAGGTGGAGCTTCGTCAGTAGTCGGCATTGCAGGGGGTTTAATATCAGAAGACATGGCTTCCTGAAGTCAGCGGCGGGCATCACAAGGGTTTGGAAGACACAGCTCATCACGGCAAGTGTTCTGCCGGTCCCTCGCTGATAGCCAGCTAACAACAAATGAGTCTTACCAGCATTGCAGGCATAAATTCCATGAGGCAGCGCGAACTGTCGTGCCGCGACTTCCATTTTTCTCCAGCTGTGCTCCTGCTGTGACTCAGATGTTCATCTGTAACCATCTGCTCGATTACACAGCTTTTTGGACTTCGTGCTTCCCTGAGTTGCAAGTATTGACTATCATGCAATGTACACACAGATTTGTCATTCAAACCGAATGGCTTGTTGATCTGTTGAGCTTGGGGTTCTGCTACGTTCCGCGCTGGAAACGAAGTTCTACAATCTGTCAGGCACAACTTATTCAGCCAAACCGGCTATTAGAACTCGGCAGTTATGCTGCAATGCACATGGGTGTTAATCACCGTTCGACTACTGCCCAAGCTGATTATGCCCCCGTAGGGCCACGCGAAGAACACATGGTGATATGGGTTCCATGTCATGGCAACACGCCTCGTATACATTTGGTCTATTTGAATGCGTCATGACAGAAATACTCATTTTAAATACGACTCCACATCACTCACCGTTTTTCCTTCATAAATTCAACTTGTTCGGCTGCTCGACGGTGATGCATCTCCTCGCTGTACTTGGGGCTCTGCTCGCAGTGATCGGCGCCAGCGGTCGTTGGATGACCAAGCACGAGATACGCGAACGCCAACTCGAGGCAGCAAGACGTTGGCAGACTAGTGGCCCTCAGAACATAAAGAGCAGTGGTGTTCAGAATATCACATTCGCGAACCCAAAGGCCTCAGGTAACTGAAATGCTACAAGTAAATATCTAATACGTCTGATCCATGTTCTTCCAGAATTTTACGTCGATGGCAGATCCCTTCCATTTGTTGACTTCGATGTCGGTCCTAGCTGGGCAGGTCTTCTACCCATCAGCAACAGTCCTAATGAGACGCGTCAGGTGTATACATGAGTAATCTATGCATGTCCTTCGAGTGCTGACATCATATCAGCTCTTTTTTTGGTTTTTCCCTCCTGGTCCCCAAGGGAGTCTTGATGATTTAATTTTTTGGTGCGTCATCAGAAGCAGTGCGCTCTTCGCTGCTGACCTGACATGTTATACCTGATGAAGGACGAATGGTGGCCCTGGCTGCTCCTCCCTGGAAGGTTTGCTGCAGGAGAACGGTGTAGGCCTCTTTGTTGACGACAAGACTCATTTATAATTGAGATGTTTGAAGCCTTTTAGTTGGGCCTGGGGTCAGGCCAAACCAACTGTGAATCAACGGAGCTGGACCAACCTCTCCTCCGTCCTTTGGGTGGAGCAACCTGTTGGCACGGGATTTTCCCAAGGCACACCAAACGCACAGAATGAGGACGATGTCGCTGCTCAACTCGTCGGTTTCATGCAGCAGTTCCTTCATGTCTTTTCGGAACTCAAAGGTAAAAAGCTGTATGTAACGGGTGAAAGTGTAGGTTTCCCTCTCAGAGAGGTTCGAGCATTGTGCTAATCGTATCCAGTACGCTGGAAGATACGTGCCTTGTGAGTCAGCAGTCATCTTCTTTGAAGATAACTCTAAGACAAACAAAGATATCGCAAACTATATCTACGAGAACCCAACTCAATTAAACCTCTCGTTGCAAGGGATATGGATCAATGATCGTAAATAACATTTGACTTGCTTTGTCAGGCGCTTATACATGAAGCTCAGCCTTAATCTCGCGGTGGGTGGTGCAACAGCAGATCCCTGCAGTGGACTTTGTGAAAAAACACGCTGATATCTTCTCCTTTAAGTTTGTTCATTTCACTCGGATCTAGTTTTCAAATTGCTCACCGATAGGATCCAGTCAGACGTTCATGAACTACCTCGAGAAGAAGGCTGCAACATGCAATTATACTGGCTACATGGATAAGTATGTCACATACCCTCCAGCAGGTCTTCTTCCCCTACCAGGAGACTCTGTCTATATTTCCGAAGGCTGTGATGTCTGGGACACCATTTTCGACAGTGCGCTGATCATCAACCCCGCCTTCAATGTCTATCGCATTTGGGATACTGTGAGTCGAAGAGGATTTTAATGAATACTATATTAACTTCTTCTCCACGCAAGTATCCAACTCTATGGGATGTTCTAGGTTTCTTGTAGGTCATTCAATGATTGACTCAGTGCAGCCCAGCTGACGCAGGTCAAGAGGTCAAGAGTCTCCGATCTACTTTAACCGAACGGATGTAAAGGTGGCTATCCACGCGCCCGTAGACACTGAGTGGTTGGAATGCACCAATACCAATGTCTTCCCCAACGGAGACAGCAGCTTGTCCCCTGCCCTCACTGTGTTACCGAATGTTATTGAGAAGAGCCAGCGAGCCGTCATTGTGCATGGTCTCGCCGACTTCATTTTAATTGCTAATGGGTATGACTTCGTTTTCGTCTCTTCGTATATTCTGACACGTGGTTCGATGATTTAGAACCAGAATTGCCATTCAAAAGTAAGCGCGTACTTGACCATGACATTTATCAATTGACAAGAATCATTTGTAGCATGACCTGTGCGTGACTAGTAATATCTGATGTGCGCTACGATTTACTCATTATGTTCAAAGGGAATGGTTTACAAGGATTCCAGACGCCCATCGCTCACGAGAGCTTCATTGTCGATGATGTGGGTGCCTACGGGACGATGCACTCAGAGCGGGGACTCACTTATTACGAAGTAGCCTTGAGTGGACACATGTGGGTTTAGTGCAATACACAGGGTTTCGTTTCTAACGTTTTCTGTTCTAGGCTTCCGGAGTTTGCACCAGTAGTAAGTCGACCATGCTGTTATGCAGAGTCCAGACGCCGTCTAACGCAGGGACATAATTTCAGGCCGCCTTCCAGATTATGCAGTACCTGATGGGGTTTAGAGACGCTCCCTAGATACATACATACTTTTTTACATAGTACTATAACATCTCGCGGGCAGCCTGAAAGGTTGGACGAGTACCACCATCTTACCGGCCCTGAATTTAAGTCACGCGTGAATCGTGTTTCAAATTTGCCCCTGTCACGAGAGCTCAAGCGCTTACGCTCGTTCTTGTATCACCTTGGTGTCTAACACATTTCAATAGCACAGTTTTTTTAAAATTTCTTTGTTGAATAATGCCTGCCATCAGGACACTGTCGCGCTCAACGAAGTCCGCCATCGATGGACGTAAGACAACAATAGCAAGGGCTTCCATACCAGTCGTGGAGGAAATGCAGGACCTAGCAAACTGTAAGCGCGGCGGATGACATTCGACTCTACAGCTCATGCCATACGGCTCTCATGAAACTGTCTTTACAGGCAAGATGCATTACCCATTGAATGAAAAAGACCGTAACACCTTCAAGACACACGACGGCAAGGCAAGCAGTATGCATTGAGACTGCCCATCATTCCTTACTCCATGGTTTCCCCAGCGCGTCACTCCGCATCAGTGGGCAGTATACGACTTCACTAGAACAATTCCTTGCGGTCGTGTCACGACGTACAAGGATATCTGCGTCGCTCTTGGGCAAGGTTCGCCACGATCAGGTGCGCGTCAAAAACGTAATCCCTTTGTCTCCTCTTACAACCTCGTTTTGTAGTTGGTTCTGCACTTCGAAATAACCCATTTGCACCGTTTGTGCCTTGCCACCGCATCATCGCATCAAATCTGTACATTGGTGGATTCTCCGGTGAGTGGGGCACTGGCGCAAACGCAAGGGGTGGACAGAAGAATACTGGGTTGCAGTGCAATAGAAAGATGGAGATGCTTGCAAAGGAGGGGGTTACGTTCTCCGTGGAAGGATATCTTGCTGACGAATCTTTGCTCTGGATCGGGAGAAGCTGAACTGGCTTCCTTGGCTGATATGTATGATACCACCGGAGTAAGTCACTGTTGGGTATCACCGGTTCACCACCAATGTCCACCAAAACAATATAAATGAATAAATCGGTTGCCGAAGTTTCATATGTCTGTCTCCTTCATAGTCCAGACTGGTCTGTGTTGGATTCAATCTAGAGCTTCCCTTCTTACCAAATACTACCACATCATTTCGCAGCATCTCAACTGAGTGTAGGGCCACGACTTATAAAGTTTAATAACATAAATAGGTATTCATTCAAAGTTCAAGTTGGGATATCCATAATTAGACCAAGCTGGAAGTAAGGCGCCACGGTGCCTGTGAGTTTCTAAGAGACCAACCTTATTCAACAACCTCGACCAGCCTGCAGGACGACCATATCAGCAGTGCATAACAAAATAACGTTCGAGAGCAAACTCACTCCGCGCGAGGATCTCCTGCAGCTTCCTTGCATACCTCCCCGTGCACGCCCCGTGGTGTTGGATCCGCGCACACCGAGCCCACGCCCTCGACCATTGCCTGTTAACATCGATTCCGATCGACACGCAACGATTAGCAACGCAAAAGCAGTCACGAACAAAAAAACGCACAAGGCGGTGTGGGCGGAGGCAAGCTTTGGGTTCCCCGAGAATATGGCTGCGGAGAGAGTGAACTTCCAGGATGAGGCTGTGTTGGAATTTGGCGTTGGCAGTAGTCTTGCACGAGCGGCTTTGGTACGAGGTAGGAATGGACCGGCCTGTTCGTTGCTATGGAAGATCCACAACGTGCGCCAGAATTTGGAGTTGTGCGCGGATGGTACTGTACTACACTGGGGAAAGAGGCGGGACCTTGCTGGCATATGTTGGCATCAGACCCATCGTATCCTGGTCCACCTATACCGAAAGGCTGCCCTTGCGGTGTGAGTGAGGGGCGGGAATCGAGTGGGGCACAAGGGTGACTTGGAAGATTGTTTGGAGCGTGTTGTTGAACAGGGTGTTGCAACCTTGATGAGGCAGGTGATGCCAAAGCCGAGAGCGAAGACATCGAAGAGGTAGGTGTGGCGCTTGGGCTCACTTCCACGGAAGGCATTTGCGTAACTGAAAAGGATACAGAGGAAAATCCTGACGCATGGGATGGAAGGTGTGGCAATGTCTGTCGAGCAAGATCATCAGCAGCGGACGCGGGAACAGGGGATGAAATCCGAGACGATGGCCTGGCAATGGGATACGAAGAGCTAGGCTGCTGATAGGATTGTTGGGTACGCATGCCCAAGCCGGGCAGATATTCAGGCCTTGTTGACGTCGAAGAAGATGGCGGTGGCACAGATGAGACTGATGAACGATCGAGGGCGGAATTGGTGGCCTCAGGTGGAACTAGTCTGGTATTTTGTGCGCTGCTTGCCTGAGAACTCTGCGTCTCATCTTCTAGCGTATATGGTGGAGGCGCCTCGTCTATCACTGCACCTTCCTCTTGTGCAGCCCAATCATGGTATGCTCTTTGAGCTTCATTCCATTGCTCCGCCTCTTCCCTTGGAGGTGTCGTTTCCTCATATCTGGGACGAGTGACCCAATAATCCTGCAACTCCTTGACAGGAAATGACTTGTGCAACATACGGTCACCGCGCAGGGATTCAGCAGCAAAACCAGCTATGCGCATATACCAGTCTGACGGAAGCGAGTGGCCATCAGCGTCGAGCGCTAGAAAATTGAACTGTGGATGAACTGGGAGTTGCTTTGAAGAAGAGACGACAGGCATGAATGCCGTGCCTTCGTCATATTCGTCCCACATGGCGCCATAGATGATGCGCACCCCTGCGTGTCGTGCGGCGTGGATTTGTTTCCAGAGAAAGTGGCCCCCGTTACGCTTTATTCCATTGAGTCCCCATTTCCCGCGAGAGAGATTGTAGCCCTGTAGAGCAGAAATAATAAAGATAAGGATAATAGAACGTGCCACTGGACCTACGCTGCCTCCAGGGAGCACTACGGGTATGTAATCTACTCTTTTCCCCCCTTCGTCTCCTCTTCGCTTCAGAAAATCAAAGTCCTGTTTAACTTTCTCATTCCCCCAGCGTTCCGCTTCCTCTTCGTTACCATAACGCCCTACAGTCCAGGGACTTAGCGCATCAAATTCTTCTGTCCATACCCGCAAAAATTCGGGGTCTGGGTCACTATCAGATGTTGATGTGCGCCAATGTCCAGGTACGCCGGCCATAAGATAAGCACCGCCTGGTGTGGAGGAACGAAAGAAATTGACAATAGATCTGACGACCTGTGGAGAGTGGTTTCTCTGATTGAATCCAAAACCTGGGATACAGATGAGCTAGACTACCATAATCATACTTTATGTGAGCATACCCCACAGTGCAATGACTGGCTTGCCTTTCTCCCGGAGGTAATTTGGGCTGTCTAGGACACACTTATCACGTATTAGATGCATCCAATCTTGCTCGAGCACCCGTTGGATCTTGTCTGGGTGAACACCCGAGACATCATACCTAAAAATGTGCAGTCAATACCTATCAGACCGAGTTGATGAGTATGCGCACATTATGGCAAAGACCCTTCCCTCTGCTTCAGCAGCCTCCATGACACGATCACCCACTTCATCTCTAATGTTCCTGATTGCTATGGTGCCCGCCTCCACGTCGCATTGACCTGCGAATCGTTGCAAAAATGCGCCATCGACGCCGTGTAACGCCATCCAGTGAAAATGGCGCCTCACCGTCTTTGAGTTTCGAGAAGAGAAGAGAAACATAGGCTCCCCATCTGCATTTTGGAGATCTGGGGCGGGGAACAGCTCGGATGGGGAGTATTCGGATACATCTGGCCATAGGTCTGTATTGGGGCGTCCACCGTCTGGGATCAGTTTATCAAACCAGCGCAGCCATCCGTGGTGGTTAGGATCCATGGGTTTGCCGTCTCCCTTGCATGTGAACCTGCAAAAGTAGTGTTCAACGCGACACTCTATCATCCATACGCAAGTTTAGCTACAGAGGCACTTATTGGCCCTCGAGCCCGGGCTTGCATTTAAGTGATAATTGACTATTGAACGCACCATCCTTGATACCCGACTAGAAATTTGTCCTGTATTGTCTTTGGATTTGCTCTGTGGTGAGGGTGATAAGCAACATTACTACTGCACTTCAATTGGTGAGGGTAAAGTTAGGCCTACCTCTTGAGAGTTCGTCCTTCTAGTTCTTGCCCAGATATGGTAAGAAACAAAGACGACTGAGCGACCACCGAGTTGTAGGAACTGCGGATGGGGTAATGCGGCGATGCTACTGCTCTATATGAAAATAAAGCTATAGGAAAACGGTCAGCCTTTCCCGTCCTGTGTAGGCAACACCGGTTGATTGGCCGGTATCACCGAGTCTACGTCGATAATTGTTGGCAAAAGTTATTTTTATTTTTGGTTGGCATGCCTTATAGGAGGCCGCATTATTATAAGCCCTCGAGCCCATTTGAGGCGCTTTGGAAGTGGACCCGAAAATTTTGCAAGTGAGGTTCAATTGACGTTGCAAGTTTTCGGGTGGTTTTGCAACCTCCTCAAGAGGGGTACCTTGCAAAGCACCTAAAGCCGGTGGGATGAGCAGCTGTCGATGAAGCTTTAAATATTATCAAACTGACTACTGGGATGAAGTGGCACGATTGTCTTGCGTTCTTGCATGTTTAGCGCTGTTAGGATCAGAAGATTTACATCATGTGACCGACGCGTCTTGAACGCGTCGAGCATTTCAAATTCATCATAAGTATCCAGATGATTTTGCGTCCATCGACATGCCGTTCTGAGATATAGAGCTTTTCTAAGTTCAGGCCCGAAGATTTTTCCAATGCCATATAACTCTCGGAGAAGAGATTAGCAGAATATTTTCTGAATTGTGACATATAGATCTCCGAAGTAACGCTGGCGACGCCTTGTGACACCTCCTACCCATTTCCGTGTTTGGCACATTCACCCCTGTGTCAGCCGCCGTGCTGAGCGTATATATACTCCCTCATTCCCGCTCCACTCCTTCATCCGCTCCTTCATCTTCTCTCTCATCTTCACAGCCTTTTCCTTGTGCGACTTCCTCATATCGGAGTCTTGGACGTTCGAGCAAGGTATGTGGTGCGCAACTCCGACTCCGACTCCTACTTGGTATCCTACTAACACTCGCCTTCTCCACCGCTAGTACACCCTAGATCAAGCCCGCCAGACGCTATGCTATATAGTGCGTTTCTTCCTCATAATGCTGTATATGTGCCAGATAACTGATATTCACCTGATTTCGCTCAGGTCTAACAGCAAGCTTCGAAAACGTATGTCTTGTTCCCGCCACAATTCTTATCTGCCTTACTAACCGACATCGACCACTCAGGTATTGAAGGCAAACCCCCAAGATTCAAGAACGCAGCAAGACAACATAATGGAACGATACAACATAGCTGCTGTCCTTCACGGGCGTCGCTCGCGGCGTGGACGGCACAGTGGACAGGACCTGGGTCTGCCTGATCCTCTTCATGCGCGTCTGCTGGCCACATTCGCCGGGGCTCTCGGGTATCCGACACCTCTCCGCCCTGTTCGCCTCCTCAGCACCTCCTCGGTCGGTTGCACTGGCCCGCACCATGGATCAGGCACCCCAGCCCACGTCAACTCAACACTCTCGCTGTTTCGTAAGCTCGGGCACGAGATGAGAGGGTGCGTTCCATTTTCATCTTCCAACCCGCTGCTGACATTACGCCATCTTCAGGGCATCGGTGGTCGCTGTCATCCAGGTCGGGACCTGTGGTGGCTCGGGACGTGGAACATTGGCCCTGCTCTGCAGGCGTTGCTAACGTTCCATCCCGTTCGCCCCTCAGTGCCCGCCGGGTCCGGGGTGGCATTGTCACGATCAGTCTGCTTCCTCGGCGCCAAGAGCCGAGGTCGTCAGCGCAAGTAAGTCCACCTCGGTTTAACAAAATAAACCTGAAAAAAAAACATTCCGGACAAGAGGAGAAAGGACTTTCGTGACCCAGGTTATGGGGACAGTTGAGTAGTCCCATTTTCTGACGTTCATGGTTATTCTCGAGACTGGTGGCATCAGCTCGAGACGCCATGCCTTGTTATATTGAATGCGCTCGTCATTCAATGTCATGACATGGAGTCTCGATCTGAGAACCTGACGTGTGACGGTGTATCCCTCTGGATTTCACAGCAGGACTGGAATAGATACGTTGCAAACTTGCACTACATTTTGTTTTCACCTCTGAAATTTGATTGTTGCTTGTTGATCATCATTTTCACTTGTTTTGACTTGGAATTGACTTGGAAGTCCGACTGAAGAGACGTTCATCACACTTCACATCGACGACCGAGCATATGCATGGACCTTTGATCATTCCGCCGGAATCTGCCCATTGTTGCAGGTAGAAGCGGCAACAATATTTCGATGGGAGGCACGCAAAATTACAAGCGACATCTTCCACATTGCAAGTTGAATTTCGTCCAGTGGACACAATGTTAACTACAAGTCAGTTGGACTCTGGCCAGAAATTCGCTCAATGCATGGGTCGCTCTTCCTATTTCCCCTCCATTCGTGGTGGGAGGTGACCTTCAATCCAAGGGCGTATGCCATCCAGTACCAGTCGCAGAGCTGCGAATCGCGTCCTGAATGAGGAGGTCGGTATCATTATCGGTACACATATATGTGCGTTTCTTGCCCATGGATATCTTCATCGTTGTCAGAGACGTAGACATCCACTTGACCGTGGAGAAGACTCGGAGCATCATCATACCCACGGTTGGCCTAGTTCCTGGGGGTACTAGCTCAAAGAGTTCGAGGCGGGTATCTCTTCCATCATCCGACAACTCTCATGTCATTCTGTTTCAGGACGATGACCATCGACATTTGTGTGGTCTTGGGGGTTCGACACATCCCACTGATGTACAGTCGTCCAGTACTTTGGCCGATATCGCTGGCGATCTCACTTGTGTTCCCGAACATGTTGGGATCGAGCCTGCTATTTGTCTCGGGTATGTTTTGTACAGGATTTGTTCCGACTCGCTCGTCTTTTGGTATTTTCATAGCCATGATTGGGGTGCTGAAGTCATGTTTCGAGGCTACCCGGAGACGACCTGATATCTTATATGCCTTGGTTGGCGTGACCGTTCCATAGGTCTAATTGAGCAAAACCAAGGCAGGTGCTGTGTTTGCTAGGGATAAACTGGCAGGCCCCGTTAGAAGAAAACGCACCCGGCACTGGTAGTACTGACCTTTTTCCTTCGACTTGTCTTGTCTCGCCATATACCTTGGACTGCTGGCAGCCTGCTATTCGATATGCTCTGGATTCTTGTTTTTGCTGGACTTTCGATGCCTCATTATCGTTTTTTGGGACCGCATCATGTAACGCTTTGCTCCGAGTCTGATATCACTATTGTACTACAATTGCGATCATTGCGTACAGTGAATTTTCAGTGTCCTAAGAAGTGACATTTATTCATATTCCAAAGATGAAGTGACAACTGTCACGGTACAGGTGAGAGATCTCTGCTTCCAATATACCACTACAATATTTCTAGCGTTCTGACCATGTCCGGAATAGAAGAAAGGTCTTTGACTTGTGCAATAATATCATGATCTGACACGATTTTCTTGTATTCTCCGTCGCGCTAATGCGCTAAAAGGCTGCTCAGTTCCGGATCAACCAATTCCTGTGCTTCAAGGAGCCCGCCAGGCGAATCCTGTGATGGAGACCTTGACGTGCGTAAGGATGAACCTGCTGTTGTGATCGCCTGTGGTTGGATGGGTGATATTTATGGATTTGAAGAGCTGTTGGGAGGCGGTGGAGTAGGCGGTGGAGTCGGATAGAAGGATAGACAGGGTAGACTAGCTAGATTGTAGGTAGTGTCCACCATAGGGCCCCGCCCCACAGGACAATAAACAAGGATCAAAAAAAAAAAAAAAGACTAGCTAGAGTCTTGAAGAGAGCGAAGCTGGCCCTGGTCGCAGATTGCATAAATATAGGTTTCAGGAGTTTCAGGCCCCATGTCCTGAGCGCCAAATGATACAGGAAGCAGGCGAGGCTGTGATTCCTGTGAAGAGGTACAAAAAGGCTCGGTACAGCACCTCTGAAAATTATATCAAGACACTCACAAGCCCTCCAGCAAGTTGTGCTCCACACCATCCACCTCGAGCAGAATGACGGAAGCGGAACAGTCCGCCATCCAAATCGACACGGCTAGTCGAGCATTTGACCATGAAGGTGATGTCTATGGAGTTGCAGTCTTCCCCGATAGATGCCGTATGGTCACGGCCTCAAACGACAAGACGCTTCGTCTGTGGGACTTGGAAGACGGCGTTGAGTTGAAAAAAATGGAAGGGTATCGCCACGCTGTATACAAAGTTGCAGTATTAAGAAACGGGCAATTCATAGCAAGCGGTGATTTCGGCGGAGAGCTCGTCGCCTGGAACAGGGACGGCGAATCTCTCACCAAACCCATCGAATTCCACTCCAATCTTATAATGTCGCTCGACTTTTCCCCAGACAACACACTGCTGGCGAGACGGTGTTCTGGAATACAAGAACATGGCGGGTGCAAGGAAATCCAATCAATTGTGGGAATGTTGTCTCCTGCATTCGGTATTCGCCGTCTGGTGAACGTCTTGCCATCGCAACAATCAGAGATATTCAAATATGGAATCCAGGCAAGAGGGAATGCATCGCAAAGTTCCAGGGTCACTCTGCGTTCTTGAATGGAGCATTTAATCGTTCGCTCGCGTGGACGCCCGATGGCGGACAGCTTGCCTCGGCTTGTACTGATCCCGATCCCACCATACAAATCTGGGATTCATCGACCTGGATGCAGGTCGGTGAACCCTGGAAGGGCCATACTGAGACCGTCCTCATGATTGCCTTCAACCCTACTGGCACACTTCTCGTGTCCGCATCGGGAGACCACCAAGTTCGCCTTTGGCGGCTTTCGGACCAACGAACCATCGCCATATTCAAGCACTCCAATGAAGTGCATGGTGTCACGTTCTCCACAGATGGCAAGCACATCCTGAGTGGAGGTGCAGATCATATGATCTCAAAGTGGGAAATACCTTTGCTGGAGGACATTCCCGAGGACCAGGCATCAGATGTAAATTTCTGTTCATTTTCCGTTCCTTCTTCATCTTATTTCCTTCAAGGATGTGTTGTGGAAGGATGCTCCGAAGGAACAATTGGCAGATAATGTGAGTTTCAATTCCGTCCGTCTTCTTGCATATTGATCCTCAATCGTGATTCCAAGGCTCAACCGTCTGATTGCGAGGCATGTCTCTAGCCTTCACTCCTGCCATATAATCTGACCATGCAAGATGCAGATCCTTCCCATCAACACGACAGCCCGCGATGCATGCATAAACGGGGACTGGCTCAGTGCCGACAGGCTGTCAACACAAGATATCGGCGCCGATGGCAACGACTACAACTCTTATGCGAATCGCTCGTTTGTAAAGGCAAGAAATTCAGACTGGGACTGCGCACTTGATGACGCGCTCGAAGTAAGATGCACCACCCCAACTTGACCTTTTTAACACAAGCTAACTTATATGGTGATATAGAGCATCAACATTCAGCCTTCCTTGATGGGCTGTATCTCCAAGGGCATCGCACACTGTGGAAAACGACAGTTCCCGGACGCGATGAAAGCATTTGACCTCGCGTTCATGTACGTGGACACAGACTTGAATAAAACTCGATTTCTACTCTTGATTAAGGTACGTCAATCGTGTCTCGTATACTCGCTACTTACACGACAGCTGTCAGGCCATTGCCCTTTTCAATGCAGATCAACATGACGAGGCAATTCTGCGCGTGCAAGAGCTAGCTACCACTCGTCCCGATCCGAATTCTCTTGCCTGTGGTATCGTAGAAGTGAGTGCTCCTGACACAGTCAACTCCAGATTCATGTGTCGATATTGATTTTGCGAACCCTGCACTTCAGTCTTATCTACGCGTGCAAGTGGGAATGAATGCGTTAGGCGATGCACTTCACAACGAAGCTGCTGACCACTTCACTGCTGCTGTCAACACTATCGGATTCTCGTCTATGTCGGCCATCCTTCCCAAATATGATGTCTTCGTGGTGGTATGTTGATTGCAGTGCACTGGAAATCATTTTTTCACTCCCTACTGTGCTTTCTCTAGTTATTTGGGTGGGACCTCAAGTCATTGTGGCGAACTGCACACCAGAATCTGTGCCGTGCGCTCTTTCAGGCAGATCGACTTTCGGAAGCCATCCAAGCATACCGATATATGATGGACACAGCTGATGAGGCTACGAAAGCACGCTGCCTTGATTGGTCCACTTGCAAGTCTTCGCGTGATGTCAACCTGGTATAATTCTCAACCTCATTTCACTTAGCTTTCAAGCAAGATTGCAGCGTGTCTTATGCTGCGGCCGGAGTGGCTGACCTCGCTGCGAGCGGAGATGCTGCCCTCGGTGCGGGTAATTACGACAGGGTCATCGAGCTCTACTCTGCGGCGATCGACCTCGATTTTGCAACTGATATCATCTTTGCGAACCGCAGTAAGGCGAGGTCGAGAAAAATGCTATGGGACGACGCACTCCTTGATGCAGAAAAGGTGCGATGACAGTCACCGTTTTGTAATCGACGCTGATTCTGGTGATACGCAGGTCATCGAAATCAATCCCTCGTCCTACTTTGGATATCAGTTGAAGCATGCAGCACTTCATGGCGCACAGCGATACGATGAAGCCATCGAGGCGTTCAAAATCATGCTCTCCAAGTTGGAAAATGCTCTGGACACGGAAACAACAGGTAAGCCCAAAATAGCACATCCTTCAGTATTGTTGACTTTCTTTATTCAGACTTGCGCCAGCAGTATGTTAGTCCATCCGAAGTAGCAGAAGCCATTCAAGAGATCATCAAGGCTCAACTCGACGACATTCCGCATCGTCTAATTAACACCTCCACCGGGCGCTTATGCAATCGCGAGCTGCAGATCAATGCCTTCAGAATGAGTGCAGAGTACAAAGAACTTTTGTCATCGACCATGAAGCATGCAGACCTTCAAATGGAGCGCATCAAAGACATTGTGGCGATGTACTTCCGTTATGTCATGCTATCGCATAGGTGGGAAGGGACGGAGCCGTCGCTGCATGACATCCAGGGCAAGGTGGTGTACGACTTGGATCCAGTCTGCGGCATCCCGAAGTTGCAGTCATTCTGTAAAACTGCTCGCGATTTGGGGTATCGCTGGACTTGGATCGATACCTGTTGCATCGACCAGACTAACAACGTTGAGGTCCAGCAATCGCTCAACTCCATGTTTGTCTGGTATCATCACTCATCGCTCACCATCATCTACTTGTCGGATGTTCCACCTTCGTCGCAGCCTGGGGCACTCGCAAGTAGCGCTTGGAACACACGAGGATGGACAGTTCAAGAATTCCTCGCCCCAAAATTTGTCCTATTTTATCAGAAGGATTGGTCCCTATATCTCGATGATCGCTCTCTTAACCACAAGGATTCCCGTGCAATCATGCAGGAGATGGGAGATGTGACGGGCATAGATGCACAGGCCCTCGTCGCCTTCCGTCCGGGAATGAGAGATGCACGGGAGAAACTCCAATGGGTGTCAGCCCGTGTCACCACGTGGCCGGAAGATATTGCATACTCTTTGTTTGGTATCTTCGGCGTCAACCTGCCTATCATTTATGGCGAGAGGAAGCAAAAGGCGCTTGGAAGGCTCTTGCAGGAGGTTGTAGCTCAGTCGGGTGACATCAGTGCCCTGGACTGGGTGGGGCAATCATCCGAATTCAATAGCTGCCTGCCAGCCGACATTACTTCATACAAAGCTCCATCATGCACCTTGCCATCTTTGTCCGAAGATAACATCCAGACGTCAATCTCCTCGCTCCGACATGTCATGGCTGTAGATTCTCTGAGACTTTACACGTTGCTTGACAACCTGAACGCTCCCCGTTTTGCGAACCGCAGACTGCATCTGCCTTGCATCGCATTTAATGTCACAGCAGTTAAACGGAGTCGCGCTGAAGATCAGGAGAGATATAAAGCCACGGCCAACGGGCTTCATGACCTGTTTATCACCACGGAGGACAAGCTGAATC